TAATTTAAAATATATAAAGCGCTATAAATTTTCCAACTACTTAGATATCTTGACTGCTACATAATACCTTTTTGTGTAAATTTTATCCTAAGTACGTCCCAGTAGAGTGCACGACTGTGCCGCCCACAAATAGTAAGGCGACACTGGGCCGCGGGGAAATGCGTGTCGTTCCTATTTGTCCGATTTAATGAACTATTCGTTACACTTCAGCATTTCGTAATCGAATATGTGACAAACTAAATTTCTACACAAAATAAATGTATCAGATTTAATAATCATTAACCAAAGGCAATCCTGACTATCGATTATCCATTGCAAATATAATCCATTGCAATTAGATGAAAGGGTTTCAACGATTACTGTTTTTGATAGGGATTTCATCTTATTTTGATTATCGAATTACACTCGAATTACACTTTTCTATCGCACTCCTTTAGCGGATAGGGCCAGTGTCGAGTGTATATCGTCATAGGTCGGATGAATCGCATGTACCAAGGAGAACGTTAGTTATGAGCGTGGTACACCGGTAGAGGTAGACATAGAAAGAAATAGATGGATTGCGTGAAAGGTGACATAATCAAGAAGGGAGTGATGACTGCGATGACGAATAGAGTTATGTGGAGGACAAAAACCTGTTGCGCTGACCCTACAGGAGTAGGATAAGAAAGATGATGACTTAATTAAATCATAAGTTTTAAATAGAACATGCATTTGCTCTTAATTCTCGAGGTCTAATGGCGCATAACATAGTAGAATAATAAATCAAACCATCGCATGAGGAAGTAACTGCGACAGATCGTGGGCTCTGTTATTTTAATTGGATCCTCTGACAAACTGTATACTGTTCAAAAGTTACATTGGAAAGAAATACAGCAGAGAGTATAACTCTGTCTGACGCCATGAAATAAAGGTATAATGTAATAACTTTTTTTTTTAAATAAAGGTTGTAAGAAAGCTTTTTTTAAATTATCAAAAAGATCAATTTGTAACTACAAAAGATAATTATGTCAGATAACGACATAAACTTAACTACTACTACTATCAATACTACTTTATACTATCAATTAAAAAACTTCCGGTAACCTAAATTCGACTTCAAAAAAATAGGTTTTAATCAAGAATAAAAATGTGTTGTATAACGAAGAGCAGGCAGAATCTGAGAAGCTCGACTTCCGACAAGTATACGATTAAAAATTTTAAAAAGTATCATTTCAAACTATAGCTAAACTTTTCAATAGTATAGCCATTGCCAAACGCAATAGGCCAAGCGTACAAGGGTACCGAAGCTGCACTTCCACTTGGCAAATCATACGTGAGCTTTGGCATATTAAAAATTAATAAATAAATCCGCTCTTGTTCATCGAAAGATCTAGACGACGGTTTCAAGACTGCCACTCGTGTAAGGCCCACAAGTCACATCGGTTTTGTATATTTGTAAATTATTCTATCCGAATTTCCAGGAATTCCTCAGATCTGTGCAGTAAATCGCGACGGGGACGAGTGCAGCCATTACGTTCATCCTTGTCCCACTTTCTGTGAGTAATTAGTTAACATACTGTCCAGTAATAAACATAAACAACTCTTAAACTCACGACCACAATACGATTTTAAGGATTACTGTGTAATATCGATTTATTACTAACAGATTAATCTTCCTTCCCTTTCTCTTGCATAGTCATAGTCTGGTTGGTATAGTCAAGTACTATATACATCTCTATCAGTCGTCATATCTGAATACCTCTATATTTTGGTCTTGCTCTACCTTAGTAGCATTCGATTATTACATACTACCTGTGACTTCGTCCACGCAATATTAAGATAAAAGAGTAGTATATAATATGCCCGTCTATGTCAGGTAACCTTTAGTGATAGTCCCTTCGAAATCGGCTCAGCCATTTCGGAGATTACCCGGAACAAATGCGACTTGCAGACAGACAGACAGACAGAAAAAAAATGTTCTAATGCGATTTTCGTTATCAGCAACGCAAATACATCATCTTCCCGAAATCTGAAATTTTTCTTTTGTTATTACAAACAGACACTCCAGTTTTATTATATTTATCATCTTATCATAAATTTTGCTTCTTATCTTTAACAAATACACGAATAAAAAAGATATTTAAAAGTGTACAAGTCTCAAATAACTGAAATTTAGTCACACAGTCTCGTGCAAGATCTAAAAATATCAATCGCAAAATCGGTGTGAGTGGACTTTAAAAAATTTCATCGAAGAAAAAAATTATCGCATGAGATATTATCCGAGCCTATTAAAAATAGCTCGTCTGACACATTGTTTATATCACAGTGCTGTTTTTTATGATACCATTAATGTTTATAATAATTGTAATAAAATTTTCGGTTACTCTTTGCTGAATTTAATTTATGACTACCACACGTCATACTATCATGTGGGTTGCATCTATCACGCGAATAAAGAAGGAAATCAACTTAACACTTAAAACGTAACATCTAAGACCTTAACACCTCTAAGACTCATTACAATAATTCATCTAGTTATAAAAGAATAGGCAACTGCTATAAAATGTTAATGGAAAAACGAGAAATTAGTAACACAATAAAAGTTTATGATCGTTTGTACGATGTTTATGATAAAACAAAAATTTTAACTGACACACATTTACAGATGGTAACACATTGTGGTCTTTCTATAAACCGAAGACAATAATACCGATTATATGAACATTTGTGTAAACTGACACCACGTCTTTAAAAGATTTACAGAAATCTCTATTAATTGATCCAACTTTAGCGAAGTTAACCAAAGGTTTAACAATATTTTCAAACACGCAGTAACTAAATTATTCTAATTTACCTTCACCGTCGTCGAATTTAAATAAAAACACTCACATTACACAGATTAACACCAGATTTGGTTATATTAAAATCACACTTACTTCTGTCAAAACTCGAAAAACCCGCCAAAATTGAAAATGGCGGCTGTCCGCGTGAACGCACTAAATGCTAAGATGCGTCGAGCGAGAGTGTTAGCGTCTTCACTATCAGGCGATACCAGAATACTTGTGTTATATGAATTTTGTGCAATTTATACATTTAATTCTCAGCTGCGAGAATTTTTGTCGCTTGCTTACTGAATACTGGCGAGAAGTTTTGATATTTATACTTCAACAGAAGTGATTTTCGTCTTATGAATGACGAACCACTTCCTTTCATTCATTCGTTCATTACCTAAGACTCACTACTGTAGTTAATTGGTCACTAAGGAAATCCCTTGGTGTATACATCTCAAACTTAACCTATAATTAATAACTGTGAGTACGACAAAGAGCTGATTAGATTTGACCACAGAAAGCATCAAAGAGATTGTTTACTTTATTCTTAGAAAAACTTCGTTATAATATTGGTCATTTTAAATGCTTCTAATAAGTCAACTAAATGCTTGCATACGTTTTCTAGGTTAATCTGTAACAAATGTTTTGGAACACATCCTAGCGATTGCTTTACAATATGCAATGAATCTCAAATTAGTTTAGGACTCGAAGTGGGCGTCGAATAGCTGCAAAATTCCATTCGATCGGTATCATTAATATATTTTTATACTTCAGCGAAATCTCATCAGACGGCCAAGAATCTAATATTTCGAAATGTGAAAACTAGATCAGTCAATATGCTACCATAATGAAACGTGATTTTTTAAATATTATTATGGGTTATATGCAGTCTTTGAGAATAATGTCGTATATTATACGGGGATGTCATCGAAGAAATCGCCGCGGAAAACAAATTATCAATCTTTGTCTCTTAAGTCAGAGCTTTTTGCTGTACGTAAAATTATTTATTTTTCTTTTGGGCTGGCTCTGGCTGGCTACTCTCTTGGTTGTGGCCTGCTGCATTCTGTCATAATAAATAAAAATGTTTTAGTATTTGTTTTTGATTTATATAAATATTTCACGAGGATGCACTCAACTTTATGATGTTATATTTCTCTTATCGCACAATTCGGTACTGAGAAGGGAAAGAAAATCGGACCGGACATGCACAGGTTAAACATTATTAAGTGCCTTTCATCTTCGTTCAGTCTCACCTTCAAAGCTTTTCACTGAACTCTACGTGGGTAGTATTAATATGTTTGAAAATTAAAAGCTTTGTATTTTTAACCAGAAATTCAGCAAAGTATTTAATATTGTTGACCAAAATATCGTTGCCTTCAAGTTCGTCCATCAGAATACACTCCAGAGCCAGGAGACATCCATTCTCACGATAAATGTAGTCATCTTGCGACTTTAAGACTTTGATAAACAAGCGTAAATAATGAAAGGATCTTTGAAATCTTTGTAGTAACTGTAAACTGTTTGAATAACTTCTACAACCGTTCAATATGAACACAGAACACTACATTAGGTATCTACTTTTATCTTCTTGTTTTTCAGCGTGTACCTCTGTAGATCACACTGTTTAGACAGATTGATGTTTGTAAGAGTTTGTAACCAAAACGACTGAACGGATTTCGATGAAATTAGGTATTTATGTAGAGGATAGTCTGGAACAACACGTACCCTACTCGCTTTTTTTAATTCCACGCGGATGGAGCCGCGGGCGAGTGGTAGTTACAGAATAATTGCAATAAAAACTATCTCATCATACATTTAAGTAAAAGTAAATAATAAATGTGATAGAATGCCATCTTACAACAAAAAAGAATTTACTAAAAACACTATGTCGAATGGCCATCCATCTCGTAGTGTTTTTGCCTTCCCCCGCTAGATGGTGCACGATAATACAAGAATGCTATCTGTCAGCTGCTGTTTTTTTTTTCCTTTTCCATTTTTTAACTAATGAAACTAATTTATAGTAAACTTCGAAACATTACTGTAAATTATCTTGATTATGTTATATGATAATGCAATTAAATTATTATTATAAATTTTTGTCTAAAAACTGCTAAAAACGGTTTATTTTAACAATCACAGATTATAAATTACCGTATCCCTACCACTACAACCAACCACACAGTAAAATAAAACCAAAACACAGTAGCTCGATGGTGTACCTATCTATACAGATAGGCAGCATCAGCGTAGTTTCAAAGAAAACAGCTGTATAGACGCCGTGCTAGACATCCTACTCACTCACTTGTTGCACCTACTTTCAAAACTTGAGATTTTACCTGTTTATGTGAGAAAGTGAACTTGTTAATGTGTCTTATTAGCATACAGAGTCGAGTTCGAGTTTGTGTTATCTAATTTACCGTTACCAAAGTCACAGGGACGCTAAATATGCATGTTGTTTTTAACGTTATAATTCGTTATGATGCACCTGCAGTGCGGTACATCGTTTCACGTTTGCCGCGGCGTCGACATGCACTAACAAATTAAGCGTACTCCGATGACTTATCAATAAACTAACGACAATCCACTTAGAGTAGCTACGTGGATCGACTTGTTGTCGGACAGGTAAAAAATATACGAATTGAGGAGTCACCAGGTCCCAAAATGACTCATAAGTGGTCATTGGCTTGCCCGCATGCGACTATTGTTTTGTTTTTACGGTACATCTTTTAATTCGATGAGTAAAGTGCAAAGAATGTGAAACTAATGTTATCTAGATAATTTTTCTATTGTGCCAGTTCTATTTTCAAATTAAGTGAATTACTTAGTTGGCGGGAACAATTACGTTAGGAATTAAAAAAGAATAGTAAAATGTTAAAGTGTTACAACTGCTAAAGCAATGGCACAGAGCTCAGTAGACTCGGATAGACTGTCTTCGGCTGGAATTTCAACTCATAGTTCTGGAACGGCGGGTACAGCTGGAGGTTCTGTTGTTGGGGTTAGACCTGGAGATCCTGGACATAAGAGAGAGGATGAAGATGATTATAACCTTGGGCCATTGCCTCCCATGTGGGAAAAAGCATTCACACCTTCCGGAGAGAGATATTTCATAGAGTAAGTAAAAATAACATGCAATTATTTTTTGTTTCTGCTATGTTAGCTACTAATAAAATACTACATATGTACCATCATGTTTCTTATTTAGTTATATGTGTAAGTTGTATGTTGTATGGATATGTTGCATGTTGAGCAAGTTGATAATGTGTAATGCAAACATAAGTTCAAGTTTGGACTACTAATTACCAAACAAAGTGAGTTCTATAATAGTGCAAGCTGACCTATGTACCTTTATTATCTTATGACAACTTATTTTCGAAGTACTTGTGCAATTTATAAGGCTGGGTGTAATTAGATTTAGGTAGGTTCTTTTCTGAGTGTGTTAGTTGATCTTTAGATATCTATTAAATCTTACTTACTAGTATAATTGTAAACATTTAGATGATCTATCTGGATCTAGCTGAAATTGGATGGAAGAATACGTAGACATTGTTGCGGACAATTAGGCTATCATAAACATTCACTAATATTCTCACTTGTTACACAATCATTTTATGTACATTAAAATCCAATAACTTAAACCTCGGTAACTTAAAAACCTCTCTAACTTCAAAAAATAATATGTTCCCTTCCCATCTGAGCCCAAAACCTCTACAACTAACCCTTGATAACTTAAAACCTCTATAACTTAAAATATTTTATATTTCCTTTGGACTTTAACTTATCGAGGTGCTATTTATATTATTATATGGTATTTAGAAGTAACCTGTAAGAATATACAGAAGAAGACAATTAATACAAAATCAGTTGAATAGCAACTAAAATTTTAGATAACTTCTATAACTTAATAAATAATAAAATATTGGCAATAAATACTATTGATTATCCTAGATTTGGCTATCTTTTATTTATTAACCAAGTAATAGGTGGTGAATTCTTTTGTTATTGTTTTTCTTAACACCATCAGCGCCAGACCCTTAGTGAGTGTTTAAAAAAAGCACAATATTTTTTTTTGTTGGAATGTGTTCTAATCTACATAATATATCATATATTGTTTTTCATGCCCATTTTTCCCCTTATTTTCTTAGATTTTTATCTGTGACATTAAGATACATGTGGTTAGGGAAATAGTTCATTTGAAATTCATGCCATACACAGTGTCACAAAGAGATACACATGGCGCCTAAGATGTCAAATGTGCCAAAACATACCACATACAAAATACAATCATGTCTCAGATGTAATCTTCTCTCCAGATATGTTGTATATAAAAACATTGGATACATAAATAGATTAACCATGAACCAAATTTCATATTAACACCATCTGATACAAAACAGCTATCCGCATACCGCAAGCCAAAGTCTGGAGTAAATATTTTTTTGTAAGTTCTATATTTAGACTGATTGTTACACTTGTATTTGAATCAGTTGCCTTCGGTCAGTTGTGTTGTAAACTCTGTGCAATTAGTACTTAGTTAAAATAGTTATATTCCATACTTTATTGAAGGAATTTTGGTTATTTTTTATTTTCTTATTTATCTTTTAACTATGCAAAAATAACTTAAAACTAGTTTCATATAGTAAATGCTAAACCTTAGTGATTTTTCGCTAGCACAGTGACTTGCGTACATAAATATTGTGTTTTAAAATATGTGTTCTTGTTATAACAGAAAGATAAAGAGGTAATACAATAAATATGCTCAGATTTAGTAAACAGTAACTGTGGAGGGGTACAACGGTAGAGGTTGACTTAAAAAGAGATGGATGAATTGTGTGAAAGGTTACATGTAGGAAGTGATGGAAGATAGAGTATGAAAATATGGTGCGCCAAGAACATGATGACTAAATGGAGCTGATAGTTTCGTTGTATTGCAACTTTATTGGTGGAGACCTGTTATTGGCTGTACAATTTAACTACCTCTATACCTAGTTTGTAATAAATAGCTGTTGGTCTTCTATGAAAATAAATAAATAAACAAAAGTAAACTCTTAAATGATTTAACATCACAAAAGAGTAATTTAATGATGTCTTGCTGTTATGATGTGTATGATTCATAATATAAAGTATCTTGTCATTATCTGATTGCTTTAGATAAATCACAAAAAGCAATGGTGGTCATTTCTAAGTCTCATGCCATTTTAAATCTGTAGTCTAAAGCCCACATAGTATTACATGCTCAGCTCTAAGTGACAGTTTTAACCGAACAGTCAAACAGATCAGTTGAAATTGCATGTGTAAGCAAAACTTTAATTGAACATTTCAACTGATGTGTCAGTTAAAACTGTCAATGGGGGCTTAAGTTACTATCAATTTTGAATTGTGAGTTGTCATTTGTTTTATGTTCTCTTAAGTATTCTGTGGTTTCATTTAGTTAACTCATTTAAACTATTCTGTTTCTTGTTGTACTTAGTCACAATACGGGAACATCACACTGGCTGGATCCAAGGTTAGCGAGAGTGAGGAAGCATTCACTCGGAGAGTGTGGAGAAGATGAACTACCGTACGGCTGGGAAAGAGTCACCGATGAAAGATATGGCTCCTATTACGTGGACCATATTAATAGACGTACGCAGTATGAAAACCCTGTACTGCAGGCTAGGAGATTAAGAGGTAAGATGTCTTATATTCTTCTAGTAGTTTCTAGTAGTTGATTCTAGTAAATGTAAACAAAAGAACAATGATACTTGTCCTTTTTCAATGCAAAGAACTGAATGTATATTGATTTTTAATCTGTTAATGCTTAGAAAAAGAGGAGGCAAAGGAAATATCAGGTAAATCGGTTATGTTATTAACTATTAAGGTTTTCTAGATTAAAAAATACTAACAGAATAATTTTTTTTATGCAATACAGAAGAAAAACAAACAGGTGACTACAAATGTTTGAATTTTTCTTACAAAAATGTATTCTAATGGCCTTAGTTTATACCCTTGAATTATCATAAAAACGTGAGCTAATACGATTAGTAAGGGTTTGAACATGACTCTTATGTCCGTGAATTACAAAGGTTGTTTCCATGTCTAAATATACAATCTTAGAGTGGGCGCACACCTTTGATTAAACAATCGCACATAGTTGTGCGATTGTCACTTGTTTCAGCCCATTCAACTGTTCGCACAACTAAAAATCTACTAGTGTGCTCCTCCATATAAGTTGATAGGAAATAGAGACGAAACAGTTGTCCGATAGTTTAGTTAAAAGTGACCGCGCTCTAAGTCTACTTCCTACAAGATTTACGTCACTAACCTTGCGAACCCTATATGAAGCCCTGCTTGAGCAATTGTATGAGGAATTGATTCTATAAAGAAAGCTAAATCAAACTCTAAAGCATACGCATAAAGTACATTTTACAATGATTGTAATAATACTTTCTACTTAAAACCATATTTGTTTCATCTTAGGTCAGAGATGTCCAATTTTTACAACAAATGTAATAAACTAGCTGTTCCCATGCGGTTTCATATAAGAATTATGAAAACTTTATTTTATTGTTTACCTTTCTCAAATGTCAATATTACTGTTACCTGAATAACCTTGCATCCTTAATGTTGGCAGCTTGTAATTTATGGTCCCTTCCCCATATGAAGGTTTATTTATTTAAAAAAAAATATTCAAAAATATGATGTGATTGCTGACATCTTACGCCACAAAGTAGTGTGTGTTTACGCTTTATTGTATTAGTTATTTGTTATATTATACTAGTATAGATACCAGGAAGTCATTTGTAAGCAACCATAAATAAGATGTACTTAGTTCCTGTTTCTCGCGGTATATGATCGTTTCAAGTATTTTTAGTAATGAAATTGAGTTAAAAAAGTTTGACTATAAATCGATTTACAGCTGAGAAGTTAGCATCTGAGAATGGGGGTGGCAGCCAGACGAACGGGCCCCCACCAGGGGGGGAGTTGCGCGGGGAGAGATTCACTATAACGCTCACAAAAGGCACTCAGGTATGAAAACCAATTGGTCGTTAATAATCGATTTATTATCTGTGAACATCGAACTTTCTCCTCGTGTTATGTCCGTGTTAATAATTTACACTTTTTTTATTCTCCGCAAATTGTTTATACATTGAAGTGCAGATTAAAAGTAGGATCAGGGAATTTGACGGTGTTATACCTTTAAAGCTAGTCGTTTGAAATTTTTTATAGACGACCACGCAAAATAATAAGAAAAAAAACTTTTAAATATGTATGTAGAAAAGATTGATTCGTAAGAATAGGTGAAGTTTGTCTGAAAGGAATTGAGCAATTTTTTATAGAGATACGCCGTTGATTTCCACGACTGTACTTACAGATTATACAAGCGCTTGTTATACATTTAAATTGAATATATGTAAAATCTTTACACAAAAGTTCAAAAATGGGTCCAAAATGTGTATGGTGAGATGTTTGTTCGACAGAATTACTTTGAAATTGACTGCCTCATTCAAGCTTTACTTAGATTTATCCTATAAAATTTGATTCGAATAAACTCCACGCGGACGAAGTCGCAGGCAAATCCTAGTAGTGTATATTTAGAGGTTTTTGGATAGTTGCCAAATTTGACTTTGTGACTGCTTAAGAGGGTAATTTGAACAAATCTTACTACTTTGTTCAAAGTAATTTTTATTTTTTTTAGGGTCTCGGCTTCACGCTTATCGGAGCTGAGGGTATTCCTGAAACAGAAGGCTACCTACAAATTCGAAGTATCGTGCCTCATAGCCCGGCATGGATTGATGGTAAGGTATTTTTTTTTTTAGTTTTTGTGTTACTTGTCTTTAATGTGATTTTAAAATTATACTATGAGTTTGACCATGTTTTTAATTCCGCGCTATCATAATTCGACCGCTATGTGCGTAATTTTTTGACCGATTTTGACGGGATTTTGACAGAAAAGTAGCTAGTAGAACGTAGACGAACGCGAGAATGTTATTAATGACCACTTTCGCTCGTTACTTTATAAAGAAATTCACTTTTGAAGTGTTTTATTTTACCATATACTAGCTTTCGCCGGCGTCCTCCCATTAATAAAAACAAAAGTGAGTAGCCTGTGTTCTTCCAGACTATCCTCTATGTTTAAGCCGAATTTCCTCGAGATCCGGACATCCGTTTAGGATACAAATTCTAACAAACATCCATCTAACCTTTCGCATTTATAATATTACTAGCTTTCGCCCGTCACGCCGTCCGTGTGGAATTAAAAAAAAATGAGTAGCCTATGTGTTCCGTTTAGCGGTTTAGGCTACAAACTTTAACCAACACCCATCCATCTAAACTTTTGCTTTTTTAATATTAGTAAGATTAGAAGATTAGTTTGAAGTAAGACGTATTTGCAGGAGCCCTTCGTCCAGGCGACGTGGTGGTCGGTGTGGGCGGGCGCGGCGTGCGCGGCTTGTCGCACGCGCAGGTCGCACAGATCTTCCAGTCTATTACACCCGGAACTGACGTCATATTGCACTTTGTACGAGGTTAGTAAAACTAAACATATAGTTGACATACTTAAAAGTAAAACCTTTTTTTTTAAATTTGAATTTAAGTCATAATTAGAACACGAGCGCCGCCAAGCGACTTTCGTGAGAACTTAGATTATTATGAAAATAGGGATCGTTGCGAGAATGTTGTTTGAACGATATGAGCTTGGTAGATCGATGATATCCTGACTGAGGAGTATTGTGAATATACCTGGAATCCGTCTTTACAAATGGCCGCCCACATGTGATCTCGAGTAGTAGTAATTCTGATATCGTGCTAGCTCAAGCCAACATCTATATGTATTATCTATATGTATATACTTCTATATTCTATGCTATATCAATCTATACTTGTTATATGATAAAGTGAACACACACTTAGGTACGTAGTCAGCAATAATAGTGTATTTTTGAAGAAAAAGTCCTACACTTACGACATCTTAGGCTATATATTTTCACGCTTTTAAACTTAGGGAGTAAATAATTTGGAAAAACCATAATGCGGGAAAGGGTCATACTACAAGTAAAGCTAACACTGTACTCATCATCATCGTCATCATCATCATCTCCACTAACATATCCTACTCCCGTAGAGTCGCCGTTAGGTTTGCGTCCTCTAAATAACTCTATCATCATCTCAGTCATCACTCCATTCTTGATCATGTCTCCTTTTAATCCATCCATCTCTTTCTACGTCTACCTCTACCGGTGTACCACACTCATAACTAACGTTCTCCTTGTAACATGCGATTCATCCTTCATAACACGCCCATACCATGCTAACCTTTTACTCCTTAACTGTGCTAGAGTCTAAATAAAAGTATAACGGTATTTAAAGTGATAAATTAAATTGTTTGTATGTTAAATTTCAGGTTATCCACTAACATTCGACTCAGAAGACCCTAATACCCGCGTGCTCAGTACATTGGCGGTGGACGCCACCACGCCGGCGACGTCTGATGCTGTTGCCATGCAACAACTAACACGGGCTTTAAGGACCAGGTAAAATATCCCATTTTAGTCTTACTGATATTTTAAATGGGAAAGTTTAGATGGATGGATGGATGTTAGAGTTTGTAGCCTAAACTGCTGAACGGAATTTGATGAAATTTGATACAGAAGATTATCTGGAAGAACACATAGGCTACTCACTTTTGTTTTTTTATTCCACGCGGACGGAGTCGCGGGTGAAAGCTAGTACTAATTACAAAGAGAGAGTTGTATTTTTATATTTATTGAAATAACTCAAAATCTATTTGGTCGATTTTAATTTCTTTACCTATGTTATCACTGAGTAACAGATTATTTTAAATTTCACGCGGACGAAGTCACCAGCAACTGCTAGTTAATAAATTTGCAAAGATGTAGAACATCCGGAAGAACGCAGGCAAACTTATTATTTTTTTAAACTAAACATGGTCGGTGTCAGGGGCATAACCTAGTTCTGTATTTGTATTTAGTTATTATTGTAATCGTGAAAGAAATTTTAAAATCGGTCCAGTTATTGAGTTATTTCAATACATACAAAAACACAAATATTTCTTTATTATCCTCTATACTATTAATATAGACAAGCTTTCAGTCAGCTTAGAACTAAGAAACAAACGTAAACAACTTAGGTTTCCAGACTTCAAATCAATGTTAATCTTATCAAGATCTGTACAGCAGTTTTGGCTTTATAATATTAGTAAGACTAGCTGATTCTCGTGACTTTCGGGATTTCGTCACCGTGAAATTATAAAAAAAAAAATGTGGTCTATAATACTCACTGATAAATTAATCTAATACATACAAAAATGCAAATGACAAATTAATAATATAAGTAATATTACTAAGATATCTTTATTTTCCAGGTTCAACTTGGAGTCGCCGAACAGTAACTCAGCGGCGGGTCACGACGAGCCGGACAAGGGGCGCAGCCCCGAGCGCCGCCTGCTCTCGCGCTCCTTCGACCTGGACCTGCCCGCCGCAGAGCCGGCGCCGCCGCGCTGCCCCTCCGCAGACCATCTCCTCACACTCGCTACTGGTACTCACTAATATAATAAAACATAAACAAACACTTATCTGTTATAAAGGATCTCATAAATCACTGCATATTGATAAATAATTCTTTTTTTAATAGAATGCCCTACATTTACGTCTCGCTACAGGCTTGAGTTTAATAGTTCGAACCAATTTTACGAATAAAGTTTGAATGACATCTGGCTATAGATGCTTTGGACCCCAATTTTGGGACTTTAGGAGATGAATTTCGTAAAGTCCTTTCTTACTAGACGCCTATGTAGTAAGAGGAACATCACTATAATACTTAAGTGTTTAGAATCAGTAGTTTTACATTGATCGTTGAGACATTTTATTCGTTTATGTATGTACATGATTTTATTATATCAGAGCATTCAAGTCGAAGCGGCGCGCGGTCGCCGGGCCGAGAGTTGGCGTTGACGCTGCGTCGCGGCGCTGCTGGCTTCGGCTTCACTATCGCCGACAGTGTGCACGGACAGAAAGTTAAAAAGGTACTAAACTATAATACATTAATCCGACTCGAAGGACCACATTTATATATCTATGAATTTAATTTTACTTTGAAATAAAGTAGATATTCGGATAAAAATACTTTAATGGTTAAGTACTGGATTAGATCAAATCATAAAGAAGGAATACACATCCCAGTAAAATGTTATAGTTAATTGCATATCAGTTACTGGAAAGTGACATTTACTCCCATAATTTGGTCATTCATAACAGTAAGATGGTACAGAAACTGTTATTAAATCAAATATCGTGCTTACTACTTGCATACTGGAATTCCACTTAACGTTTAACATGCTTGAACTTACATATAAACGTTGTAGTTTTTGTGTTTTCCGTCCTTAAACTGTTGCTGCTCTAAAAGTGGCAGGCGCATAGTACAACCATGCTAGTACTTAGATAATTGCTATTCCACAATAACAGGCGCTTTAGATCGAAAATTATATGTTGGACATGTTATCGTTTACAGGTGCTGGACAGAAGTAGATGCGCTGGGCTGAGAGAAGGCGACCTGTTGCTGCAGATCGGAGACACCGATGTAAGACATGCGCCACATCAGCACGTCGTACAAGTACGTATAAATAGTTAATAATTCAAAACACCTATAAAGTCAAGTAATTAATTTGACACGGAACAAGAATACTTTTCTGACAGTTTTGGCAAATCAAATTTGTTTGGATTGGATTCGCCGAAATAGCGAAACAACCATAGCTCATAGCGAAGTTGTAGATGTGTTGCTATTAAGTCCCGTTTAAAATGTCTAAAAAAGTTGTCAATTTTTCATTAATGAGTTCTTTTTCGAATAAAAACAAGTATTTTTCTACTAGCCTCCCCACTTGATAATCCAACTCCCCCCCTAAATCGACAACGGTTATGACAAAAATCAAAATCTTATAGGTATTAAAAGAGTGTCCTGCACTTCATGAAACAACGCTACGTGTATGGCGACGGAACAATGTGACGCGCGCGCCGCGCAGCCGCTCCGCTACTAGATTACAACAAAGTACGTATACCATTACAGTTGGCACGTCAGGAACAAGTGACATCTTCTGACAGACGTGCCAACTTGTATTGATGTTTCTAATATCTTAGCACCTCCATTCTAAGCAGCTGCAAAAAGTTTCAAGTGCAGTCAAATACGTTTAAATGTTATTTAAAGACACTTATTGGCAATTAATTAGGTTTTGAGAATTTATCACTAGATAGCGTTAATAATGATTATTATAAAAATATTTCAAGTGAAGTCAACTATACCTCCTCTATATATTTGAATCTCTTTGTCTTTGAGCATAATATATAGTGCGCTTAAAATCTATGGGATGTTATTTTTTCTTATAAAGTAAATAATTTATGGTTTTCCGTATATTTTATACAGCGTCAACAAACAACAACCAGTTGTGTAGGAGTAAAACGCCAACGGCAGAGCAATTACGTTCTCCCGCACAAGATAATCTGCGGGACAGACTTGATGATATGAATACAGGTAATACAAATATATATTTACTATACTTTTACCTTATAAAATGTACCAGGTAATATGCACGACAAATATATAATATAGCATTCGGACTACTAAATAGTGTCATTTTGATCATATCTTAGCATGTTACCACAAGCAACAGTAATTTGCAATGTACATTTAGAAAAAAATCATTTTTACCCTACTAAAATTTAGTAAGAAGTGGAAATCTAAAAAAATTGTTCGATTCTCACTTGTAAAAATTATTTATAGGTACATTTTTTTTAATGTATTTGAGTATATTTAAAAACAAGAAAAATGTTACATTTAACATAACAGTTACTTTAGTTTAATATTTAAAATCTCTGTTTCAAAACGCAGCCAATAGATGGCGCTGTTTATTAAAGTTGGTTGTGTTTGAAATAATTTTTAATTCAAATGTAAATCTCTTGATCACATATAACAACAATTTGTAAAAAATGTTTTTAAAAATCTTTGATATATTTAACAGAAGCAACATACGCAGTCCCGGAGCACAAATCCCGGGAAACGCGCGAGAGTTTAATGGACCGGAGACGGCGGAGCAGCACTCCCGGCGCGCGCCTTACCCTGCCCGTTGTCTCTCCCTGGACAGAGCCCGCACAGTGGCAGGAAGAGACATGGATAGATAACTCCAATAACATACGCAACTGGGCGGAGAATGCTCAGAAATGGGAGGGGAACGGACAGAAGTGGGAGGAGAATGGACAGAAGTGGGAAGAGAATGGTCAGAAGTGGGAGGAGAATGCGAATGGGAACGCTTGGGATGGGAATGGGGAGAGATGGAATGGTAATTGGGGGGAAGTACCGACGCCGACTGTACACGTTGATATGAACGCTGCATATTGGAGGGGGAACGCGAGTGTTGCTGATAGCAGTGATAATGGAGGTTAGTGGTTTAAATATTTAAAATCTATACCAATATTATATTGATTTGTATATTTGTATGTATTGAAATATTAAAAACTACTACGCCGATTTAGAAAATTCTTTTACCGTTAGATAGGTTATTTATCTGTGAACAAAGGCTATATTTTAAAATTTCACATGGACGAAGTCGCGAGCAACAGCTAGTATATTTAAATGCTTCAGTTTGGATGGATGGATGGATGTTAGAACGTACATAGTTATGGAACGGCTTAACGGATCTTGACGAAATTTGACATAGATGTAGAACAAAGTCTGGAAGAAAACATAGGCTACTTTGTTTTTTTTTAAATTTCATGCGGACGGAGTCGCAGGTATCAGCAATCAATATAGAAATGACTGATTTATATGGTACACTCAAAAATTTACCGAAATCAAAAATACTTTTGTCGTTACAAAGCTGTATAATCACTGAGTAACAGAGGATATAATTATAACTAGTTTTTTGTAATTTCTGTGAAAATTAAAATTAAACAATTTTATATGTTTATTTATCGTTTATTTATTTAGGTTTCCCAGAAGACGGTATGCTTCATTCTCCCACAACGGCAGCAATCGGCGGTCTCTCGCGTCAGTCGCCTTCCACCAGCAGAATACGTCCTCATTCACCTTCTAATTCTACAGGTAAATAACATGAAAACGTCATTTATGCAAAGAAAACTTATACAATACTTGACGAGATCTTACTAATATTATAAATGCGAAAGTTTAGATGGATGTTTGTTAAAGTTTGTAGCCTAAACTGCTGAACGGATCTCGATGAAATTTGGCATGTATAGTCTGGAAGAATACATAAGTTACTTACTTTTGATTTTTAATTCCACGCAGAGTCGCATGCGAAACCTAGTAATATAAATGCGAAAGTTTAGATGGATGTTAGAGTTTGCAGCCTAAACTGCTAAACTCTCAATAAAATTTACCATGTTGTACCATTGAAATTTAACATATGGGCTAATTACGCTATTTTTGTTACCACGCGGATTTCCGCGCCTCGGCTAAAATTAAAATTATTCTTTTTCCCGTTTCCAGGTCGTTTGAGAAGTAATTCGCCATCAAACAACAGCGCGACAGACCGATTGCTGAACAACTCTCCTTCAACTCGTCTGCAGAGTCAGTCGCCTTCAAATAACTCCTCGAACAGCAGGATTAAAGGATCACCTCTGAGGTAATTATATTATAAAAAAGTTAAATTTCGATATTTTCGAGAAGAAATTGTAGCCTAGTTGTTAGAAAGGATTATAATTTACTAGCTATTTCTTAATATCGTAGCATGACATTTTTTTTTAATTCAATTGATTTACGTTTTCTAAAACTTTCAATTGCAAATATCAAAATTCAAATGCTTAAATGACAACAAAAGCCTTTGCCATTGCCTAACAATTACCATTACCATGGCAACCATGGAAAACTTAGTTTTTTCTCTTTCCCCTAAATTTTCGTAGCGTGAAAATGTAGTCTTGTCGTAAGTGCAGGGCTTTTTATTAAAAAAAACATATACTGCTATTGCTGACATCCTATATAACAAGAAAAGAGTGTGTTTACGGCTTCATAAGTACAGATAATTCTTTAAATAATTATTAAGTACATAACATATTTCAGACTTGGAGATAACTCCCCGTCGCGCCACATGCACTCCCCCGTGCGGCGCTCACCCTGCTACGAGGGGGAGCCACTGCAGCCCGGCGCCTACGGGAACTACCCACAAGTTCGTATTACTGACCCCACTCCCGCCCGTATTACTGACACCACCCCCACCCGTATTACTGACACCACCCCCGCCCGTATTACTTCTCGTGGAAGTTCTATTGGCTATCTGAATCCGTAAAAATAGAAAACCGATCACTGCCTATAAACATCCACAATAGATAATATTCACATAACGTTAAAAACCAAAAAATGCACCCCAAATGATACCGCCAGTGCGTTTTTAGACCCACCAGCATTAGGATACATTAAATTGCTATAACTTTGTGGAAACATAATTTATTTTATGTAATGTATATACCTGAGATAGTCGTTTCGTACTAGCGAGAGGGGCATAGTTTTCTTCGTCCGTACCAGCTTAAGTACCACGTCAGGTCGATATCGGCCTGTTAGCCAGTGAAAGTGTTAAAATACTATGCCCAGTAATAATAGTGACATCTGCAGGTGTCGGGCGGCGGTGCGCTGGACCCTGAAGCCGACGTGCTGGTGCGGCTGGCACGCGGCGTCGCGGGCTTCGGCTTCCGCATCGTCGGCGGCACCGAGGACGGCAGCCGCGTCGCCGTAGGATACGTCGTGCCTGGTAATATAACCAGTTACATTAATGTTTTTATGTTGCATTAGCTTACGCCCGCGACTTCGTCCGCATGGAATTAGAAATACAAAAATAAGTAGCCTATATATTTTTCCATATTATCCACTACATCTATGTCTAATTTTATCGAGATCCATTCAGCGGTTTATATTACAAACTCAATACATACATCCCACTAAACTTTCGCATTTACATTAGTAAGATGTGGATAGATGTTTGTAAAAGTTTGTAAAAAACTGCTGAACTATGAAGTCAACCAACCCACAGTGCAGCGTAGTTGACTATAGCCTAGTCAGCCCTTATTAGGTTAGGCTCCGAACCCCTCGGTAGGGACGTATAGTGAGCTGGTGATGATTACAGGTGGTCCCGCGGACGGTCTACTGCGTGCAGGCGACTTGCTGACGTCGGTAGATGGCGTTTGCGTGCGCGGCGCTACACACGCGCGCGCCGTCGCCTACGTGTCGCAGGCAGCCGCGCGCGGACATGTCAGTACATTCCCATCATCGTCATCATCACCTCTACCTTATCCTATTCCCGTATGTCAGCACCAGGTTTTCCTACTCCATATAACTATTATCTCAGTCATCACTCCCTTGGTCCTATCACCTTTCAATCCATCCATCTCTTTCTATGTCTCCATACCGGTGTACCACACTCATATGTGACGTCCTCATAGTTACTTCATGTTATATGTGATTCTCTCCTCATAACATTCCTATAGCTTTAATATACACCACTCTATTGTATTTAAACCTATACGCGACTTCACCAGTACAGTTAGTAGCGCAGTTTCTATCATCTGATTTCACCGCAAATAAAATTGATCTTACAGGAACGAGGTTTAATTTTATTATACACGTCTTTTATACACTTCCTCCTGATTATTAAATTTTATTTCATATAAACTTTAAAAAAACGCGATAAAAACTGGCTAGTCTGAACGCACCCTTATGTAACTTGGGCAGAATTTGAACAATAAAAAGTCAGCTATTTTATATTATTCTCAGAGTATATCATGTTAGTCGAGTTTAATTTTCTAGTTTTTTAATATTGTTTATAATATTCTAGGTGACGTTAGGTGTGCGACACAACAGAGCGGACATCCAGCCGCTAGGGTTGCCTACAATGGCTCCACACGCCCACCAGCCATTGCTTACGTGAGTTAAAAACCTAAATATTCGTAACTTTATAATTATTTGCATTCTTGTCTATAATCATATTATAAAAAGGAAATATTTGTATTTTGTATGTATTGAAATAACTCAAAAAACACTGGGTTGATTTTCGGTCGATTTTAACAGTGGTAGTGCCCGCTTTAACATGTTAGCACTGTAGGGCCGGCTCGCCCCCAGTAATACCACGACCACACAGAAGACAGGCGTCAAATGGAAGCAATTCCGTGTCTCGTCTGATGAGTGCGGTGCCGGAGGCCTAATTTAGGTCCCTTTCTCTTTACCACCCTCTTCTTATGAGGAGAGGATGGGAAGGGGAAGTGGAATTGACAGTGGAGAAGAGGCAGGAAGGGGAAATATCCTCTTTATGTGCGTCTCCTCCTCTGTCGGATTAGGGTAGGCAACGCATCTGCAATTGCGGATGTCTATGGGCAGCGGTCGTTTCGCCATTTTAGCGGATTCAGGTGGCCGCTTGCTCGTTTGCCACCTTATGTTATAAAAAAAAATAACAGGAATTTTTTATTATAACAATTTTCAAATTCACGCGGAAGAAATCGTAAGTATTTAAAAACTGTAGGTGATTGATTTTGGTCTTCGTCAGTTTACAATCTGACTGAATTACAAAGGACTGAAAGAATCCTTTCCAATAAGGCCTACTTAAAATTTCAATCTGGCTTTACACTAATAGCTGGTCTATTAAAAATAGTTTTTATTTCAAGTTTATTAATTCTGCGGGATTTTAAATCAAGACCAGTCATATATCACATGTGAGCGATTTGTCATTTTTATCAGAGCTATTTGTACGTAATTTTTTGCCATTAGCTCCTTGTATAGATGTTTTCAAATATCTTAGCTCGGACCATCGTTCGACATTGGGCCAAGATATTTGAAAAGACATACCTTCGTTGGCTAGATTTATTACCATATGTTAAAATTAAAATCTCATAAGTTAGTATTGCAGCTAGATTAATAGTTTTTTGTAGATAGCTTTATATCTATACTAATATAATAAAGAGTAAACGGACACTACTTCGTGGCGTAGGATGTCAACAATCACAGCATATTTTTGAATAACTCTTTCTTTAATTAATGCCCTACACTTACTAAAACGCTTTAGGCTTGATATTTTTACGCTGTTAAACTTTGGCGGTAAATAAATTGGAAAAATAACCGTATGTGGGAAAGGGACCATAAACTACAAGCTGCCAACATTAAGGCAGCCTTTTTTTTATGGTAGGGGTTGGTAAACAATAAAATAAAGTTTTTATAATTTCATATGGATGAAGCCGCACGGGAATGGCTAATATAATCTGTGTTTAATACATTTTTGTGGTTATTTCCAGCGCTGACCCATCTACACACCACATGCCGCCTGCCTCATATAATATACTCCACCCATCGCCTATGTATCCGCCTGCCATGCCTGTGTAAGTTGGCACATCATAATAAACAATATTCTTATATTCCACGTGCCAACTTAAATGCAAGACTGATCTCTGTTTTGTTTTAGGTACGGTGTTCAATACGATAGTCCTCCAGGCGGCTGGTCCCCAGTGCCTTATGACGTCACTGTCACAAGAAATGATGGGGAAGGATTCGGTTTTGTAGTTATTTCTTCTACTAATAAAGCAACAAGTACTATAGGTAAGTTATTTAAAAGGTATTATTCAATATGGAGCTAGTAAATTTTAATTATTATTAATATTAAAAATGCGAAAATTAACATGTATGGATGGAAAGGCTGAATGGATGTCGAAGAAATTTAGCATAAATATAGAGCAGTCAGCAAGAACACATAAGCTACTTTTATATTTTTAATTCCACGCGGACGGAGTCACGGGCGAAAGCTGTCAAACAATGAATTGATCCCTTAAATTTTACTAGCTGGTATAAAATTGTATTAGCATCCCATTTTTATTGCTGTATTTTTTGTCTCTTCAATAAATTAATTCAAAATAACTTTCAGGTCAATTAATTGCCAACTCTCCCGCCGCGCGCTGCGGTCGCCTGCACGTGGGCGACACAATAATCGCCATCAACCACCTGCCAGTGCGCAACCTGCCGCACCCGGAGGTGGTCGCGCTCATCAAGCGCTCCGGCGCCGCCGTCACCCTCACCGTGCTGCCTGCTCACCCCGCGCAGCACCCGCAGCACCCCCAGCACCCTCAGCACCCGCAGCCGCACTGCTGACACGGATACAGAACTACTGATGGATACTGAACTACTGACGGATACAGAACTACTGACGGATACAGAACTACTGACGGATACAGAACTATTGACGGATACAGAACTACTGACGGATACAGAACTACTGACAGCTGTATAACTGACGGATACAGAACTACTGACGGTTGTGGAACTGCTGATGGATACCGAATATCTGACGGATGCAGAATTCAGTCGAAAGTGGAACTTCTGACGAAAGTGGAATTGCCGACTAACACAGAACTTCCTACTAAAGTTGTATTGCTGACTAACAAAACTGTCGACGACAGTAGATCTGCTGAATACGGAACTGCTGTCGGACGTAGAATTACTGACAGAAGTGAAACTCCTGACTAATGCGAATTGCTGAACAGTAACTACTAATCGTGTATTTTGGTGAGTTTATTATGTATTTTTTATACTACTGATTAATAGACCTCTAAAATTTATGAGTTATGGCAACAGCTAGTAAAAGCAAAGGTTTTGATATTCTTAAAGTATTTCACACAATGTGTGTGTTTGTATTATATTTTGTATCCCAGATTTTTCATTGTCTTTGCACGAACTATACCAGTTTTTACATTTAAATATGTAGGGTAACCACACTGTATATAATTTTTCAGTATTTTGGCAGCTTGTCAGTTGACAATAATTTATTTAAGTTTTTATTTAGTTATGATGGGATAGCTTTAATTAATTGTAGAATTTTAGTTTACGTCTATATACGATTTAATTAAAAGGATTGATAGTGGAACAAGTAACTCTCATACACATAAAATTTAATTTTACATAAAACTAATGTAAAATTAGTACCAATAAATTGAGGCACATTTTTAAAATACTTACACATAACTTAACATTTTTTTGTAATTAAGAAAATGGAGCAAAATGCACTTTATATTTCGATGCAGACCTTTTGCATATATTTCGGTATTATCCGTCCAAATTGTGTTGACTAAACGACTATAGAAGCGCGGAAACATCTCTCTCTTTCTAAATCTTTTGATAGAGTAAGATAGAAACACATTCTGTGTTTTTATATGGGTATGTAAATGTATGATTTATCGTTATAATAGAATAAGAGATATTTAAAATATTTTTTTTTAATATCTCTATGATTTTGATGTAAATTTTGTAATGGATATATTTTTTAGAAATCCATTTAATTAGTTATTAATAATAAAGTATCTTAAAACTCGAATTTCTATGTTTAAGGTTGCCTAAATGCCTTTAGTGAACAGTAGTGGTTGATAAATTGAAAAAAAAACTTTATTATTCAAATTACAATTTTGTATATTGGAAAACAATAAAAAATTACCGTTTTCTTATAAATCAACCACTACTGTAAAATAATACGCGGACCACCGAGTGAAGAAATATGGGATAAGATTTATTTAATAATTATTAGATTTAAGTTTACCTCGGATAAAATAGATGGCGCGCATGTCATTCCCATATCGATAAAAATAATAATTTACTTTGTTAATTTTGATATTATATCACTAGCTTTTGCCTGAGACTTCGTCCACCCAAATAAAAAAAAATAAACACTCACTGATGTAGTTTTCCAATGGCGAGTGAATTTTTGAAAAAATGTCCAATAGTTTTTCAGTTTTTTCGTAACAAGCAGAAATAAAAATACTTTTTTTTATAATAGTAATAATTCTCTTATATTTGAGTTTTATTAAAAGTGTCAAGTCATATTTATTATTTGACGATTCTGCGTTTATTTAATCTGTGACTTGTTGAAACGTCGCGCGCCATTTTGTATGTTAGTATTAAGAACGCAATAATAGTGCCTTTAGTTCGTAAATATCGTCTTGCCTTTTCCAACGCTCGAGAAAAAACAATTCCATCCAAAGAACTTTTGATATATTTAATCTCAATTAGAGAAATCTTAAATGGAATTGATAGAAAACAATGCAATCTGTTACCGTATCTATGTACTTTTTTTATAACTTTTTTCTGCGGTTTATAATTGATACTAAAAGTAATAAGGCTTTAAACTTAAAGAATCTAGAATTTTGTTTTGGTAGTTTTTTTGGTTAACCAAAACTTATTCGTAATTATTAGGTGTTTTGTCTCATTTACTCGTTACTACAGGAGTATTGCATTCTCTGTTCTACATATATTTGTATAATAAAACGACTGTTTTCTACTTTACTGTTTGTATGAGTTTTTAAGCAATAGTTAGCAATATTATATAAGTCGGTTTATAGCAGGTTATACCTTTAAATATATTTTCATTACATAAATGAATTTTTATTTCGCTAAGACCATAAAAATAACAGCTGATAAAAGTAACCAACTTTCAGTCTTCAAAATTTTTTATTACTTATTTTTTATTTTATCCAAAATTTTGACGTTAAATAATGTTGCCTACAAAATATTATATTAATATAGATGTAAGAGAAATAAAACACCATACTTTTTGTAATAAATTTAATTTAAAACCTTATCAAAGGGAGACTTAAATATCAGTTCTTTAGTAGTCGACAGACTTGACTCTGACGGGCGTGACGTCATCATCATTAGGTGCGGTCGCGGTGGACACGATCCAGTCGGTGAAGCGGTCGATCCTCGTGAACACATCAGGAAGGTCATCACCACATTCATGGAAATATGAAGAGATACCAACAACCACCTGGTCGATGACCATCGGAGCACCGGAGTCACCGCGACAAGTACCCACAGCACCCTCCTCGGAGGCGCAGATCACAGCTGGAAATAAAACATTATGTTGGCATCGCTAGATAGTTGTTGAGAATACAGATTCAGTTTCACTCACTGATCACACACATGGAGAATTATCATACGAAGGACCTAGGATTAGTCGGTAATTAGGCTGTCTTAAGTATATCCTAGTACCTGAATGGTTTAGTAATGTAACTAGTACAAAAAAGTATAAACTCACAGTCGCTCACGGCTACGTTGCCGACGTTTTCGAAGCCAGCCGCGCATTCGTCCAAAGGTACTTTCTTGAGGTACACTTTCTTAAGTGTTTGCAGTTGAGGTCCAGTCAACTGCAAAATATTTAAAACTATAGTGACTACAATGGGATTGGATTACTATGGGATTACAATATAAAATATGTGTATGAATAATAAGAAGTTGTAACAAAGCTTTAAAAACTTTATAATTATATTCTTCCTTCTCCTATTTCCGTAAGGTCAGCGCAACAGGTTTTTGTCCTCCACATAACTGTCATACGTCATCTCAGTCATCACTTCCTTTTTGACCATATCTCACACGTAATCCATCCATTTATTTCTAGCTTAAAATACTTACACTTTCGAATCCCCAGCTAACAACTTTGACAGACTGTCCATTAGGGATGTAGGTGTTCTGTGGGGGAAGGAAGAGGATATTGATGTTGTTGGTGATGGCGAAGGGAGTCTGCAGAAGGACGATAGCGACATCATTGGCGACGGGACTCTCCTGGTAGTCGGGGTGCTTGGTAACTTCCCGGATAGTGGTCACAGATCCGCCAGACAGGCTGTTGGTGGAACCGGCGCGCACCTGGAAGTTGCCAAGGTTGGCACCACTGCAAACAAATAGAGAAATATAGCAAAAGATTGGAATTTCTCGTTATTGTTCCCATCCAAGTACTATCAGGGCCCTTCGCGGTGTTCCACTTCTAGAAAAATTGTTATTTGCAACTAGCTAAACCCCACTTCTTACAAATAACCAATTAGGTAGCAGTAAGTTGCGCAAACAACTAATAATCAGCAATTAGAAGTGAAGAAGAACACCGCGATGTTTCCCAATAGTACCATTTCTTTCTCGATACTTCCAAGTGCTACATCTACTACCAGCTTTGAACAGACATTTGTTTTCACATTCTGTAACAGCAAAAGTGTACTTACGTGAAGCAGAAGGCGGTAGTGAGCACATGCCAGGAGGAGATCAGACCACCGACACAGCGTTGCACGGTAATACCAGCCCCAGGGTAGTGGTATGCGAGCGACACTATGTACGGGAACTCCTCGATTGTGGTCGGAGTACCACCGACTAGTCTGCTCTCAGGTGCTGCCGAAGCTGTGAAAAGGTTGAGATAGTTATGTTTTTTTGCTTTTTGAATAAAAGTTGTTTGACTACCGTAATTTTTAACGTGGACATTCTTTATTTAATACGAGACTTTAACAATAAACTTCTTTTTTTAATTACTAGAACGTCCTAAACTTACAACATAGATATTTCGACTGACTCAAGAATCTATCTTTTATTTCATCCACAAATATAAATCATTAGTAATGATTACTGTGGCTATTTTATATACAATCGATTTATTAACTTTACTCAACTCATCGGTTTCATATTTCACATTATACTTACCAGCACAGACGAGAAGCGCCAGACAAAGAGCCTTGTAAACCATGGTCACTGCACACAGGTCCACAGGAGGTGACTACATCTGACACACTTTTAACACTTTATATATTTAGCACTTGTCTTGCATTGATATCTTAAGATCACCCGACATCCACCTACAGGATGTTTTCATTATAAGGCTATAGAATAGTAAAAATTTTCTTTGTACGTATTTTGAATTATAAAACGAGAACGACAGTCAATGTGTTAAAAAATGTTTTTTTCAGAAATCAACAATCAATTGTAAAATTACCAAATTCTGGAAGCTAAGATTTATTTTTCTATTCTTAGACAATAAAAACTTCTGAAAACGAAACCTAAACAATCTAAACTGAATTTAGTATGAACCTTGGTAACCGAGATTAACAGAACACGCTGTATGTATTACCTAACTTACCTATATAGATAAATAAGTTGCTAATCTCACGTACGCGTTATCGGTTAAGCATTTTATTATTTGATAATTACTATTGATTAATTTCCGTTAAATCTTTTAATATGATTTTTTAACATCCTTAAACTAGAAGCTAGTAAATAAGGAGATTATTCTATAAATAAAACAATACATACAATTGCTTATAATATATTTTACATTTCAAATAATACAGGCGGTTACATAAAAAATAAATAGGGTCATACGAATTACACTATAAGTGTAATTAAGGGTACAAAAACGTTACAATATTACAAATCTACGTCCAATAAACAATCTGTACAGAGAACATACAAGGACTTAGTACTATGAAACTTTTAGATATACTAACAAGTGATTTTTATAAATATCGTGAAGTTTTCTGTCACTTCTGTTACATTCTTTGGGCTATTTCACATCCTAGCAAAAGTTAAATCTTCAGCTGCGTCAACTTAATGTTTCCTGAGTTAATTGTACTAATTAAAATATGAATTTGGCTGTCAGGTGTATGCACCTGTTATGACACGAAAATTAGGGAAAATGGATAACGTAATTATCAATGAATGAATTCGTATTAGATTTTTGAAACACAAGTCATGGGAATCTACCATCACCATCTAATACATTTTATCATTTACGTTTCGAATTTCTCTCGAACATTTTCGTCATAGGCCACCTCAGATGTGTTTCATGATTATTTTCGAGTCAAAAAAAGTCAAAAATAACAAATTAATGTAAATATTTTTCGATATTTACTCTTACACATAAATCACAAATTATTATAAAATAGATATTCTTAAAAATAAAAAAAAAATATATAATTGTAAATAAAACATATAAAGATATAAAATGATTAAAATTAAAATATAAAATTGGAGATTATCAATTTTTAGGTAAAAATCTATTCCTATTTTTTTTTCTTACAACTAAGTTTAATACATGTTTACTTACAAAATATAACTTTGTGAAAATTTCATTTTACTAGGCTTTGTTACGTCTTTTTATAAAGAAGTGTTACATGGAATATATTTGGTGGGACCATTTTCTGAGGAATGTTTTAAACGGTAAACTTTCGTAAACATATTTTTGCTTTACAATTATAATAGAAAGAATTTAAAAATGAACCTAACCAGGATATGAGAGGCGCTGCCGTCTGTTGTCATCATTGATAAACGTAGACAGAAAATGTCATAAACGAAGAGTGTTTAATGCGTTTGTATGGTTCTTTTATAAGGAAAAAAGAAAAATGTTAACTGACAATCGCAAACAAAAATAGCTACATACATACATATTTCAACGTTAAAGATAGCCGGCTAAAATGGCCGGCTCTGATTATTCCCAACTGTCACTCCGGTCTGTGCTCATGTGAGAATAAAAAGTTTCATCCGTCCCAACATCACCAATAAGGTGACAGGTGGAACCGTTATGAAATAAAATAAGTTCCGACTGTCCACTCATCGCAAAAGGTGGGACGGATGAGCCTTTTTATTCTCATCTGACCTCACGTGGGGACAGAGCGGGGTGACGATTCGGAATAATGCGATGGCCGTCTACAACCCTGACCACTGGTTGCTTGAGTCATTATATTCCGCCGCCGATGGTGATTTTTTTTATTTTTTAGGTTATCGTAAAATATTATAATAAAGAGATAATGGTTACGTACGATAATGTTCCTTAGTGTTTTTATTATAATAAAGAACTATGACGTCATCGGACTTAGGTATCACGTTATCGCGGACGAGTATTCAACATAATTGTTAAAAATATACTACATAATGAAGACGCAGCTGATTATTTAAATTGTGATATAAAAATCACTATTCAATACAAAATATGGAGCAAATGTGTAGGAAAACTTGAACACTTCAGACTTTTAGATTAGGTGTTATTTTTAAAACATACATAGATTAAAAAATTTGTGCTTTCATTTACATATCAATAAAAAAAAACTTCATTATCAAAACAAAGTCGATATAGATTCAATATATAGAACATAGAACGTAATAAATCTAAAATAAACACACAAGACTATTTTCACTGTATTTCCACTATCGTAAACTTGTACAAACATTTTTTAACTTTTCAGCCAGTGGAAACTCACGTTTACAAAAAAATAAACCGGAAAGTTAGAAAGAAAATCTATGCTAAATCGTGGAATATAATTTAAATTACCTAAAACGATATATTTAGCCTAAAATGGCACATAAGAGAGCTTAACAGCGCAAACATGACCCGCTCTATACATCTAAACATCTATCGCACGACAAAAAAAGTTTCGACTGTTGTTATACATAAATTTTCTCTCGCATTCTAAAAAAAAACAGAATGTCTCAATACTTGTATCACAACAGTCAAAACCCACGATTATTACAATTGTATAAACGGATTTGTTCCATATTCAAGGTAAAAAGGACGTGAAATATCCTCAAGATTAAACACTATCTCTTTCTAACATTGGAAGCGAATTATGCGGAAAAGGGACAAAAACGTCATACTTAAGACGCACTATACATTAAAACAGATTCCATAATTTTAACAATTGCTAAAAGGACAAAAAAAACTGCATAACGATTTAACCAAAACAGTAACCTGCCTTTTGATTTAATACTTTGGCATTTTGATCATAATTGCAATTGAAAATGACCAAGTTTAGGGCCTGTCCCACCAAATTATAAATTATCTGATAACAACGTGTAAAGTATGTGATGGAAATATCGGATTTTGAACTGTTTTTTGAACCTGAGTGACGTCATTTTTATATCTGAGCCTCTATCAGCCAGTGGTGGGACAGGCCCTAAATATATTTACGACACGAATAAAACTGGAATGAGTAAATATTTCATTAAATAGTCATCGAATTACGTTATATTAGATTTTTACGATTCCAAGCATTTGTTGATCAAAGGGCAAGTATTTCATCAACCAATAATATTGAAATAACTACAAATAAATAAAATATTTAGTTAGTCAAAAGGATCAAAATGATTTATTCCAAAGTTGTCCTTGAACGCGAATTTGAAGATAGAAAAACATTATTCTCGTAATAAAAATACTTGCCCTGTTCGCACAACTTGGTTATAATTGACAAACCACTAAAAAGCAGTCTTCAAATACCAATATTACACTACATTACAATAAAATAGTGGACCATAAACTTGATTTAATAGGAATTACAAATACATCATCTGAGGGCCTATCAGGAATATTCGTGAGAACGTTTTCGTAACATCGTTTGTATTAAATTAGTAAATGTTTTCGATGACGTAATACGTTCTTGCAACTCTCAAATATTCATAATAGACCCTCTGTATATTTTGATTACGAAAAAACTATAACATCAATACTATGTGACAGAAAGCTAAGGAATATTAAAATATATATTTATATCTTTTAAAATCGTTGAAGGCTTAAAATTGAACTATTGCACTGAAACTAACTATTTTCTTAAAATGCTATAATTGCTTTAGTTTTGGGAATTCCCCGAACTGACCGAATGACCGCGAGTGGTATCACTTAGTATAAAAAAAACATAAAATAACAAGACATACAGACGAATTGAGTACCTCCTTCTTTTGGGAAGTCGGTCAAAAAGATAGAAAACTTGCTCCAACGGAACTGAAAAAACTTTAAAATGTCATCACTGAAAACTGTAGTTTTTAATTCTTATAATTATTAGTTACTCCTATTATGTATACTATTTTAACATAAATTACATTGTAAATTGCATTGATACGTAGTACAGTCAGCTTCATAAATTTACAAAACTTTAAAAACTTGTATACACTTTTATTATCAATAATATTTGTGCACATATTCGTGAATACTATAAATACAAGAAACATACAAACCGATTTAAACATTCATATTTTCGAAACTAAAAGCATAAACAAGCTATCTAAGTTCGAACACAATTTATACAGCTGACTGTACCTATAAACTAAACCGTAAAGATACTGTTTTTCAACCACTCGCAGTCACATAAAATCTTTATATTTACTGAACACTTTGTTAAATGTATTTTACAGAGAATATGTTTAATCAAAAAGTTCACAATAATGTAATAGCCATAGATTTATAGACATTTTTATAATATAGAATGGCATTTCTAAAATTCATCAATTGGACGTCAAATTTGCATGGAATACTCCAACTATACATATAATAAAATTGGACTGTCTATATACTATATCGAGAAAGATAGTCACGGGCGACTGCTATCTAACTATAATAAATAGGAAAGATTTGTATTTTCGTATGTATCGAAATAACTCAAAAACTACTGGACCGATTTCAAACTCTTTCACCTTTATAAACCTACGTTATCAGTGAGTAGCATATGCTTTATTTTGTATTATTTTTTAGATTTAACCAGTAAGAAGTCGGGAGCAACAGCTAGTATGTTATATGGAGTAAGATATAGTATACTAATATTATAAAGAGGGAATATTTGTATTTTCGCATTTTTGTATGTATTGAAATAACTCAAAAACTACTGGGCTGATTTTAAAAATTCTTTCACCGTTCGAAAGGTAATTTATCTATGAATAACATAGGCTATATTTTTTTATCTCACACGGGCGTAGTCGAGAGCAAGTACTAGTCGTTTATAAATCTATGGTTACATCAATGTAATATGTCTAACAAAGTGTCCTTTGGTAAATATATTATAATAAATCATCACATTAAATACATATTTCTACAAGCTGTCTATAATAAAAAAAATGCTAACTTAGCCACCTCTCCGTACCGTCGTGTACACAACCACATCTTATTTCATAAGAGAAGCCTTACCAACAAATTATTTATAATAATTTCTACTAAACGATATCTTTGTTCAAAATGTTTTGAGCGATTTACAACTGGCGGCAAAACTTCCTCGGAATCATTGTAAAAAGACAAAATTGTATTCCTTCCTTATAAGTCTATGATTTATTTTGAAGTAAAATTCATTAATATAGTTAATTTACATAAATGCGAAACGTTCAAAAATCACAGTTTTTAAATAACCTCCAAATCAACCGAGCAGTTCCCCGCCATTTTGAGAGGTTGACGCGTCAAATCAAAGATGGCTGCCATAAAAAATGGCTAAATTTGTCTAATTACAGTCGAGCAGCGCTGGAACATGGCGGACTGCGATAACACGCACTTAGTACATTGTGCAATAATTCAGGTGCGGCCTGCGATACCTAGGGAACAAAAATTTTATATTAGTAACAATACAATAACAAAAAACTTATAACTAGCTATACCCGTACGACTTCATCCGCATTTTAATATAAAAAAATTTGATTTTTTTTCTATACATTTTGTAAAACTTTCAATCAAATGTGAAATGAATGTATAAATGACAACGTAGACGCTAACAATTACCGTTACTATGGCAATCTAGTTTCTTTGCTGCTATTGGCTTTGTTTTTGTCCCTTTCTCGCATGATCATTTTTTCCAATTTATTCACCCCTACATTAAATAGGGTAAAAAATATATAAAAAAGGAATCTATAAAAGATGCTAGGATTGCTGACATCATTCATAACAAACTTTGTGTTTACATCTAATTTCATAAATGCGAAAGTATAGATGAATGGATGTTTGAGTTTGTAGCCTAAACTGCTAAACAGATCTGGATGAAATTTACCATAAACGTAGAGAATAGTCTGGAAAAGCACATACTTTTGTTTTTTTAATTCCACCCGAATTCTAGTTAATCGTATTTGTGTACATACAAAGGTATATTTACCCGGTTCAGCTCTTACGTGCGCTGAGCATGGGGCCGTATGCTGCGAGCGCGCAGTACGTGGCGAGCAGCGCGGAGGGCGAGTGCGGTGTGTGCGGGGAGTGCGCGGAGTGCGGGGGCTGGGAGACGCTGGAGGAGGGGGACTGCGAGTGCGGGGAGTGGGAGGAGGAGGGCGAGTGCGGCGCGGCGGGGCAGCGCGCGTGCGCAGACAGCGCCCAGCTGCAGTACAGCTCGGCCGCCTCCGCGCCCAGCCCGCCGCACGCCGCGCTCAGCGCGCACACGCTCAGCGCCTTCCAACCACCATACCTATATAATAAAAATAATGTACACTGCTATACTATGATTTCCTTACTCGTGGGATAAATTGATTTACAGAAATATTTCCTATTTGTGGTATCGGAAATTTAAAGTAGCCCTCACGGAAGACACGCACTGTATTTAAAATTAAGACATATCTTGTCACATCCGTAATTTATTTCTCCTAGTGATTTTTCATTTCATTTTACTGACTAAAAATAATTTAATGCTTCAATATTGGATAACTTCAGAATGTATTACAAAACCCTGTACAAAGTAACATTGTTAAGGTGGAAGATATATTGTAGACTTACTTATCAACAACAATAACGGGTCCATTCTTGTACTCCATCTGGCAGCCGGCGACGAACTCTATGAGTGCGAAGGAGTCCCTGTAGGGTGCGATCAGTGCGTCGAGTGCTCGCTCTCGCTCCGCGCCGCCCGCCGCCCCCGCCGCCGCCGCCCGCACCGCGCGCACGTACTCGTTGTCGTCAGGCCGGCCCGACACGTACGCGGTCGTCTCCCCCTCCAACCACCGACTACACTTTATAAACTTAACACTTAGCTGGTAATCGTCTTGCAACGAGTGCACACTAACATTAGTAACCTCGATAATCCTATCTGATGGTACATTGTCCGGCACTTCGGTAACTTTTTCGAAGTAGTAACATGGTCTCCGGAGCTCGGTCTCCTCTTCGACGGAGAGGGCGGGCTCCACTGGCGGCGGGGGCGGGGCCGTGTCGGGGGGAGAGCCCGCTGTCCGCGCCCCCCATTCCGGGAACTTGAACTTCGTGGGGGAGCTGAGTTTGAAGTTCTTCAAGGACATTTTTGATGGGCTCTTTGGGGATTTTGGTCCGTTTTTCTTTTCTGAGAGGGAGGAGAATAGGTCTCCGTTGGCTATGGATTTTCTTGCGGAGAGGTCCCTGCTGCCGGCGCTGAGTCGCTCCAGCCTGAGCTCGGTCCTGTCGAACCTGTATGCGGGCTCCGTGTCGAGGACCGGGGAGGTGTCGGGTATCAGTCGCTCGTCGTCCGCGCACTCGCTCCCCTGGCGACGATGTCCGCTGAGCTCGGGCTCAGCCTCCGCCGGCGCGCGCTCGCTCTTTCTATGCGCCACGTACACGTCCTTGCACACGAAGCTCGCTCTGAAGTTGGCCACGAATAGTTCCTTGTCCTCCTCCGTCGGCCAGAACACATCGCACTCCTGAAATAGTCATATTTAAAGAACTATCGACTATTGTGTAGACTTTTATATACAAAGGTGGCAAACGACCGAGCGCCATGAACTCGTTGAAATAGCGTGACTTATCTTTATTTAACAGAGAATATTTCTGTTTCCAATACGTCTCATTGACCGTTAAATCCAATCTGTTCTTATAATAAACAAGTGTTGGTAAGGAAAGGGGGTTAAACGAGAGCTCTGGCTTGGAGTCATCAGATTGTCCGCAGAATGACTTCCATTAAAAGACTACACCAGATACATTCGTACAAAATGTATTAATATCTACTACTATTAGATAGTATTGCTGATATTCCACTCACAGGGTCATCAGGGTCGTGGAGGAGCAGCACCAGCTGCGCCGTGTGGTCCCACAGCAGCCGCCACAGCTCGGGCGCGTCGCCCGGGTGCTGCGCCACCGCGAACTCGCGCAGTCGCCGCCACCCGCACACCCACGACGCGTTCACGTACTCGCTGCCTATATTCATATGACAATTAAAAATAACAAAAAAAAGTTTTAGACATAAAAAAGTTACAAAATAAGATTCAAACTCGATGATTTCCACTGTGACTGCCTTGCCAATGTAACATATGACACTATAAAGGAGAAGACGAATAGGATGACACCTTATTCGTTAAAATAGGTTCAGTCGTTGAGACAGTAGGCCGTACAATGAAATTTACATACAAACCCACATACTTACAAAATCAAACTTACATACAAAAACACCTACAATATTCTAGAGGATGTTGGTATCATAAATAAAAAAAGTCTACAATATTCCCATACATTATCATCGCGAAAACAACCCTCGTTAGTCAAGCAGTGTGTAATTAAGTAGTTTTTTAGTTCAGTTTCCACATAACTAACCTTCGACTCCAGGCTTGGGCACCAGCATGACTCTAGCGGAGTCCGAAGGTAGGATACCACCAGGTCGGTTCTTGTCCGCGTTGTGCGGTGCGCGGGCGCACACACTCGGCTCCACGCACGAACGAGTTATTAACTGAAAATTAGTTGCAATATAAAAAGGACATTTTAATATGTCTTTATAAAATACTAGCTGTTGCTCGCGACTTCGTCTGCAAGAAATTAAAAAAGTAATAAAAACCACAGCCTATACATAACGTAACTTTTTAACAGTGAAAGAATTTTTTAAATTGGCTTAGTAGTTTTTGGTTTATTTCATACAAAAAACTCAAATGTTGACAATTTTCAATTTCTAAAATATTTATAAAGAAGGATAGACTAGCATTAGCTCGTGACTTCGTCCGTGCAAATAAAAATCCTTATACATGGAAAAGTTTAGATCTGTCCAGTAGCTTTTATGTTTATTTGTTATATACAAAAACACAAATCTAAACTATTTATAATATAAAATACCTGGAATTGTTTTTCTAGCAAGTTAACAGGCGGTGGTCCTTGGTACACGTTGTTTCTATTAGCAAGCGACCGCATCCGTTCTAATAACGCGTAATTTTCTGCTCTATTTGCCCTGCAACCAAACAAATCATTTAATTTGTGAGTTTCTACAGCCATACATAAGTTTTATAATCTATAAGCTAACTTAGAAAATAAAAATCTTAGGTCCTTTGTGAATAAATGTAAGAATTTTTCGTAATGAAGCTTTATTTGAACTTACCTTCGCATTTCTTCCTTTTCCTGTTCATTTAAATTATTATAAGCTGCCATATTCTTGCTGTAGGTATCATTTGACCTTGGAGCTAAGTCATATACTCCCTCCGACTCATCTCCATTCACAAGTCCAGTACTCTGCTCCTCATTGTCCCCTTCTCTTACCGAAGACTTACTCAATTCGCTATTCAATTCATCAGTCTTAATTGATATTTGGCTGCCGTCTACCATTTCATCTTTATCCGTTATATTCTGACTGGATTTTATACTAGAAGTTTCTCCGTTAACTTCATTCATATTCGTTCTTGGTAGATTGAGATCCATGACCGCTAGTTCTTCTTCTGATATATCTTCTAGAAGGTTCTGGAGGTATTCTCTCGCTTTGGCGAACTCTACTTCCGTGTTACCGGAACGTACGTGTTCTAGTAATGCGTCGTGTACGAACACGTATTGTTCTTCAGTTTGCACGAGGTGATTTCTCTGCGTACGCGCACGGCAGAGGAAACCGAGCGGGGAGAGAGTTCCGGTTAATTTTAATTGGTTTAATTGTGCGTCCAGTACTATATAGGTTCCAGTACGGCCAACTCCAGCACTGGAAATAAATAATATACATATAAGCGAAAGTTTCGATGGATGGATACTATGTATATCCAAAACGGCTTAACGGATCTCGATGGAAATAGGTACAGATGTAGAACATAGTCAACTTGTTTTTTTTTTTATATTCTGCACTCTAAATAGCTATTAATTACATTATAACATTTCTAAATCAGTACAATAAAATGAGACCTATACTCTCTAGCATAAGGTCCAATTCAGCATGCATGGTGTTGTATACTGTTGTGAACGAAATTGAGACCTATACCCTAAAGTAAAGTTTCATTAACACTTGCAGTGTGTTGTACATGATGTTAAATAAGATTGAAACATAATCCTATAAAATAAGGTTGATTATCACCTGCAATGTACAAGCACGGTTCCGGGGTCAGCAGAGGCAGCCTTCACGAAGGGCAGCACGGCCAGCGGGTGTCGCGGCGTGCCGTGGTCGGGCCACACCGTGTAGTGGTATTGCAGGATGATGCGTCCACTGTCCGCACTATCTTCACCTCCTTCACACTGGAACACACGTATAAAATTTGATTAATACACAAATAGAAATAAAAATAGTCTGACACTCAGTGATAATCTAGCTTTTGAATAGTGTAATAAATTTTGAATTCAGGGCAATAGTTTTTGAGTTCATTCGTTACAAAAAATGCAAAACATTCCTCTACAATTTTAAATATAACTATTAATGTTATTGAATTTGTCATGTATCTATGTGGCTCAGAACATCATATCGTACTGCTTAGTTAAAACTGTTCGTGTAGGCACAATTTTAACCCTCACCTGAACTGTAGTTACAATTTTGCCTACACACAGTTCTAACACATTTCTAGTCCAACTTTAATCCCTTTTCCTTCCCACCATTTTTCCTATAAGAATAGGATGGGAAGTGAACGTGGATTTGACGGTGCAGGAGACGCATAAGACGGGGAAATATCCTCTTTATGTGCGTCTCCTACTCCGTCGATTAAGGGTAGGCGACACAATCGATATTGCGGTGGCAGCTTGTTTGCTATCTTTTAAAATAAAGAAAATACTAAAATTGCTGCAAATACTCAAAAATACTGCGAAGTAATCCGAGTACTAGTTGATATTAGTTGTTTCCCTGGTTGTACCTTGTGTGTGAGGCGCACGCGCAGGCGGCGCACGGTGTAAGCGGCGCGCACGTCCTCGTGCAGCAAGGTGACGCGCACGCCGCCGAACTCCGCGCTGCTGCCGCGCCCGCCCGCCGGCCAGTACATGTCGCATTTACGCTACAACAAAACATACATTACTGTACGAACTATTAGATTTTTGTACTTGAAGGATTATCAAATTTGTCCATTAATATATACTAGCTATCGACCGCGACTCCGTTCACGTAGATAAAAAAGTGAGTAGCCTATGTGTTCTTCAAGATCCTCTACATCCATAGCAAATTTCATTGAAATCCGTTCAGCCGTTTAGCATACAAACTCTAACAACCATCCATCCATCCATCTAAACTTTAGCATTTGTAATATTAATAAGATAGTATGTTTGCATGGATCAGCTTTAAAATTAGTTAACCGCAAATCGTTAATTTCTTAACAATTTCAAGAGTTAAAAATCGTCAAATAATAACATGCTATATCTTTATAGCATAAACACTACATTTTTTATAATAGAATATATAGTTATAGTTTTATAGTAGCATTTTAATGGTGTAAGAATTCTTGTGAAGTACTTTTTGAGTTATAACATTACATACAAAAACACAAAACTTATAAAAATTCTTTAAAAAACAGATCAAAGAAGAATGTATGTATAAACCTTTTACAGTTCATGATTGCGTTCAGTAAAATTGCAATAAAGTGTCTATTAGGCTTACAACTTGTCTTACCCTGCCGCGTTCGACTAGATTGGTGATCATAACCACCGTGTGGACCTGGTGCTGCCAGATCATGCGCCAGAAGGCATCCAGCGTGGCGGGCGTGGGGCCCTGCGTCGCGATGTACCGCCGCCGCCACACCACCCACTCCAGTTTCACACGACGACCACACCCGTCTGCAGAACACCAACATCATTATATCAGGTTTCCCGTTGCTGAACAGCCCAATGGGAAAAGTTCCCCTTGCTGGTCTGATCGGGAAAAAGCCACAGAAGGTTGGGAACCTCTAAGTTAAAAGTGACGGCCTGTCAACGATACTGGCCCACTGCGGGTTGGCTTCATACATCTTTGAATTTCGCTCATATATGAAGACTAGCTTTCGCCCGCGACTCCGTCCGCGTAGAATTAAAAAACAACAGAACTGAACTATGTTTTTTTGCAGACTGTCCTATATGTTTATGCCAAATTTTATCGAAATCCGTTCAACCGCTTAGGCTACAAACTCTAACAAACATCCATACATCCATCTAAACTTTCGCATTTATAATACTAATATGAATAATCAAAAAACACATCGGTACTTAGTTAGTTTTGAAACCAGGACGTGCAGATTACAATTAAAGACCAAAAGAAAAACAGTAAAATTACCTAATAATCGGAATTACTAAAAACACTTTAAATCTACAAGAGATAATTTCTTACAAGTGTTTTTTTATGTCATTTTATCTCTATTTATTTAGGAACTATTAAAAAGCATTCTAAACCCTATATACTAGATTCTAAGCTAGGCCATATCATGTAAATATTAGGCCATTTTCACACATGTCCATAATTGTCAAATAACTCACTGATATCCACATAAACGTCATCCAGGTCGCTGTCGTCATCACTCCTGTCGCTGTCAGAGTCCTCGGGCTGGTCCTCCGACTCCACGATGCCGGAGAACTCGATGTTTAGGAACGCCGACTCGATTCCCTCCGCCAAGTTAGGAGGTGGCTTGGATTGCTTCACTGACGGTTGCCTGAAATGAATACGAAACTCTTTTTTCATATTTGGCAAATCCAATTTCAACGTAAAGATTGATTATGTAAGTAACGGCTGAGTAAAATTTGACAAATGTGGAGCGGTTTCAAGGATAATTTAGGATCACAATTAGACTCGGTAGATGGCGCTTCAAACTACTGCATTCAGTCATTATGTGACATCCCGTAGTGTAGATTTCATATCATAAATCTTAATCAAGGGGCTCCATCAGAAAGTGGATTTAAAGGTGGAGAGATAGGAAAGGGAAATGTCTGTTTTATATGCATCTCCTACTCCGTCATTTAAGGGTGGACAAGGAAATTGCAGTTGCGGATGTCTATGCGCAGCGGTCGCCATTTTATTGGATTCAGGTGGCTGTTTGCAACGACCTAGCTTGACTATCTTATAACATACTAGATTTGCTCGCGACTTCGTCCAGGTGAAATTAAAAAATGAAAAATAATGGTGAAGAATTTTTAAAATCGGCCCAGTAGTTTTTGAGTTATATACATACGAAACAACCAATCATTCAACTTTACATTAGTATAGACAAAAAACTTGAGCTGGCGGCGTGCTGTGGACGCTCTCTGCCCCACTTTGGGGTCAGGAAAAGAAGAGAGAAAGAGAGGGAGAGACAAATAAAGAGTTCCACACGAAGTACTCCGGTAATACGTACTTGTGGGATATTTAATATTAAAAATTACCTCTGTGGTTTAGCTCGTCGCTGCAGTTTACGGTCGATACGCCGCTCAGCGCGTGCGTCCAGCGCAGGCAGCATGCCGTCTATGAAGTTAGCGTTGACGTAGTCGCAGGCAGCGCCGCGCCCCGCGCCCACACACCCCGCCGCGCCGCACCGCGCGCCCGCTGACACACACACCCGCGAGTGGTCATCTAAAACACACATAATTAAAATTAAATTTATCTATATTATCTATAAGAAAAAATTATAGTTTTTAATTTCTGTATGTATTGAAATAACTCAAAATGTACCAGGACGATTTCAATTGTGCACCTTTCAAAAGCTGTTATCACTGGGTAACATAGGATTTTTTTCGGGTCTTTCGAGCTGTTGCTTGCGACTTCGTCCGCGTCAAAATGCGTATATTACTCACTGTTTACTTACCTTCTAACGGTGAATTAAAAAAATTGACCCAGTAGTTTTTGAGTACAATACATACAAAAATACAAATATTTCCTCTATATAATATTAGCATGGATACAGATGTGAAGTTTAGGTGGATTGACGGATGGATGTATGTTAAATGTTCATAGCGTAAACTGCTGAACGGATCTCGATGAAATCCGACGCAAATAGAGCATAGTATGAAAGACCACAACATAGTAAGTTTTTGTTTTAACTCTGCACGGACAAAGTCTCGAGGGAATACTACTTTTCTATAAATTAATAGTATAGTAAAAGTCAGAATTACTTACAAGCTGTTATATTCAAATATCGATTCTTCAGTCTGTTCTCAGGACGATAGCTGTGGTGACTGGTGTGGCCGAGAGCAGCAGACTTCGCTACCACTATTTCATACTCCTTACTGTAATTTAACAGAAATAATTAACATGATTGCTACCTGTAGTTGTAAAACTACGGTTATAAGTTAACACATGAATAAATAATCATCAGATGAATTACGTTGACATTTCACTAAGACTATATGTTACCTTATTTTAATAAACTCTTTAGAGCGTGCACACCTTTGACTAAATTATAGCACAACTGTTGTGTGATTGTCGATTGTTTCGCAGCTAATTCAACTGTTTATTCGCACAACTAAAAATCGAGTAGTATGCACACCACCATATAAGCTCAGGAATGAAAACGAGACTAAGCAGTTGTGCGATAATTTAGTCAAAGGTATGCGGACGCTCTTTGAATGTCTCTAATACACCATTTGGTCAAACCTTCAGAACTAGGACAGAGTCCTATGTTTCAAAAGTTTGCCTACCATCATTAACTCAATATATTTTGTAGCAAAAAAGGTTTTATGCTAGATCCGAACTGAATGTAAGTCTATGATAAATATAACCTGAATCCGATATCTCCATCAGCGTGCAACGCGGCGACGTGCCTGACGAAGGCGCGCGCGCGGAGTGGCGGGCGCGCGGCGCCGCCCATACGCGGGGGACGAGCTGCCTCCGCCTCCTCCCCGCCCCCGCACACGCTGCCCCCGCCCCCGGCACCACCCCCGCGCAGCGGAGAGCACAGCGCTGTAGAATATAGACCTTATGTTGTAGTGATAGAGCACTAATTGCCTTGACAGTTGTTGCACAATACATCAGTTTATTACAAATCATGAAAGATATATTCCAAAAATATGTATATAGTAATATATCTTAATTATATACGATCAACATAGACTAGTATTCTATATTTGGCTTAATAATTTTTTAGGTTTTAGCTTTTGGCTTAGTAAACTTTAGATGGATGGAAAGATGGATGTTTGTTAGAGTTTTTCGCCTACAGAGCTAAAGGAATTTCGATGACATTTGGCATAGATATAAAATCTGGAAAAACACATAGGCTACATACTTTATTTTTCCACGGGGACGGTATCGCGGAAGAAAGCTAGTAAAACATAAGCTATTTAGAGGTTTATTGATTATTGAAAGAGAACTTACCTGGTTTCTTGTAGACATTCAACGGCGCCCGCGCCGCTCTCTCACCTCCCTCTTCGAGATAATTGTACGCCGCACTGATGCATTTACTCAACCGGGAACGGCATCTAATAGACAATATGCATATGACTGTATATATGACATATAAATTGTACCAAACTTTTTTTTAAGTAAACTTTATTACTATAAAAATATTCCTGCAAAGATTTTTTAAATATTAATGTGATTTAATGGCAAAATTTAATCATTATAAAGTGTCTTTTTTCAAATTCCCTCGCTAAGTTCTAAAGCACACACTATTGGTCGAAGCTAGTGGCTTATGTAATATGGCGTCGCTGTGTTGTCAATATACAGTTCATTATCGTTAGTTTATATAGAAATAAACTCTTGAAGTATTTAAGGTTATTTTATAAGAAGTAAAATCGTTTAAAAAACAATAAAAGTACATGCATATTCAACGCATAGAAAACGCATTGAAACATCTCTCTTTATGATAATCCATTCAGCTTTTACACAATAGACAAATAGATCTCTGTTCCTCTAACAAATACTACCGCACAGTTATTAAATGAACAATAAGCGATCCAAGTACTTAAATTAGCAACGCGACAATTAATATCCTAACATATAGACATTATTATCCGTCTCGACAAGGACCAAAAACTCTAATACTTGGTGATACTTGGCTATTGTTCTAGAATCTTCTACACTACATACTTGTCCATTCAATTATGTATAATAATATAATAAAACGTAAACACAAACTTCTTTGTTAAGATATCAGCAATCACAGCATATGATTGAAAGATTATTTTCTAAATAAAAAGCCTTACATTTACCACACTCTATAGGCTACATATTTTAGCGCTATTAAACTTAGGGAGTGAGTTAACCGAAAAAAAAACCTACGAGGCAGGGACGAAAACAAGCTAATAGCAATAAAGATTGCATTGTCAATCCGCGTTTGAATTTTTGGATTTCTTCGAACATAAACAATGAAATACAATTTCTATATGAGATAACCTCACGGGAACTAGTTATTCTCTAACGATTGTAAACCAATCCAACCGGTCTTCAGTTACTTGGTAATTCTCACCTCCAGTACAAGACTGCAGCACCAACAGCAGCCAGAACAGCTAACAACGTAACCGCAAGTAACGCCGCCGTGCCCACACTGCGCCCCGACCGCGTCATCTCGCTCGGCTGGCGCGCCGCGCTGTACGCCACACACGACTCGCTGGACACCTCCTAACAAATGAACCTTATTAGTATGTAACATAAGTGTCAAAATTGAATATCACGTAGTGTGCGACCACAAATACTGTGCGCGACTGGGGATTTTTATCGCACAAATTGAGCTTTAATCTGAGAGCAATAAGGTTTAGTATTGATTTATACATTTTATATAGTGTGAAGATATGTAGTAAGTATAATTAAACTTTGTTTCAATCGTTTAAAGCTCATTTTTAATTACGATAAAAATCTGCTCTATTTTAAAGGAGGTGGTTAAAGTAACCTCTTTTAAAGTAACATTTAACGTTTCGTTATTCCGATTTTTTTCCTTTAAAATAGTGAATTAATAACTGAATATATGCAAAATCGTCTGCAAATTAAATAGCACTTTTTATACTACCTAATTCTAATTTCATATGAAAACAAAATTGTAACCATTCAATGTCTATGGACAAAAGCAAAGTGAGAGATGTATGCAAATTAATTACTCATCTTATTTGTTTATTTGTACATTCATAACATCAGTATAGGGACATAATATTACTTCAATACTATCTCTTCAACACTATGTCAATCAAATTATAAACGAATTGCAAAGAGTTTTGATACAAATGTATCTTACTAATATTATAAATGCGAAAGTTTAGATGGATGGATGGAAGTTTGTTAGCGTTTGTAGCCTAAACGGCTAAACGGATCTCCATGAATTTAGAGCATAGTCTGGAAGAACACATAGGCTACTTTTTATCTTGGGAATAGTTACGGTTCCCGCGGGATTCATTAATTTAGTTTTTTAATGTTTACTCGATCATTTTGCAACGGTTCAACATATCTTATTGAAATTTGGCACAGATATGAAACAAAGTCTGGAGTACACATGGGATAAGCTTCATCCCCGAGAAATGTCCGGTTCCCGAGGGATACGTAGCTTTTTGTAATTTATATAGTTCGTGTGTTTTCTAATACCACGCGGTCGAAGTCGCGGGCAACAGTTCGCAATCCATAAAACTTTTGGATAAATGTCACAATAATTTTTAATAATATAATTTGTAAATTCTTCAATTTCTATTAAACTTCTAAACACCCGGAAAGAAAAAATATCAAATATTTCCGATTACGAAAGAGACAACAAGAAAATCTATATTTTGCTTCTATGGCTATCTCTTTCGCACAAATATCTATTGTAAATAATTACCTCTGGCGGCGATTCCAGTCCATTAACAAGAGACCCAGGTTTAGCTACAGACAGAGTCACGGCAAAAATCTTCACTTCATATCGAGAAACATTCCAAAGTTCCACAGGCTGCAACAAAATACAAAATAAATAAAAAAATCTGACAAAATCTTCACACAGATACGATTTAGATAACTGTCTTGAATAACACGTAAACTAAAAAGGATTTTTTTTAATTCTGAGTATACGAAGTCACGAGCAAAAGCTCTGTACTAATATTATAAAGAGGAAAAATTTGTATTTTTGTATGTATTGAAATAACTCAAAAACTATGGGAGTGATTTCAAAAATTCTTTCACCATTAAAAAGCTACGTTATCAGCAACATGGGCTGTATTTTTTATTATTTTTTAATTTCACACAGGGAAAATCGCGAGCTGTTGCTCTAGCTAGCTTAACTAGCTGTTGCTAATAATTTAAAAAGAACTAGCTTTCGCGTGCGACATCGTCCGCGTGGAACTAAATAAACGAAAGTAAGTAGTCTGTGTTCTTCCAGACTATCCTCTAAATCGATGTCAAATTCCATCAAGATAAGTTAAGCTTAGTTCAGTTTAGTTTAGTTTTAGATCCATCCATCCATCTAAACTTTCGCATTTATAATATTAAAGGTAGATTTTTCTGTTCTACATACCACATTAATAGCTGTATCGATGTCAGTTTTGTTTGTAGGCAGCCTTAGAGTGGTCCTCGGCTGTTGTTCTGGAACCTTCCGCACCGTCACCACGTACTGGTCCAATGAGTTATTGTACTCTAGCGGTTGTCGCCATTGAAGATATAGAATTCCTGTGAATAATGAATAGAATTCTTATTTCAATGACTTTATACTTTATTTAGCATTGTAAATGTTCATTATGGGGAAGGATTTATTGTACATTTTAGATAAATATCTACAATAATTAACTCTCTAAGCATGGCCTTATTTAAAACGCTTGATACGTATTTAAAAATCGTTTCACTATTCGGCCGTTAGTGAGTTAGAATTCAATAATGTAAAATTACAATGCTTTTATCATACTATATAAGAATCTTTTTAACTCAATAACAAGAGATTAATGTTTACCTACATAAGGTTTGTTTGTATGTTATTTAATGTCTATAATCCTCAAAGTTTTATAGGAATATAGTCAATCATGTTATAAATAACGTCTTTATTGTCATCATCATCACCAGATGACCAGATCACCAGATACGTCCCCACAGAAGGGATCGGAGCCTACTCTAAGTTAGGGTTACTAGGCCATAGTCAACAACGCTAGCCAAGTATTGGTTGATTGATTTCACACATATCTTTAAATTTTTTCGCCGACATATGCAGGTTGCAGGTCTAAAATGTAATTTGTTTAAATTACTACTTACCATTAGGCTGATCACAAGTCAGATTTAATATGATAGGCGCTGACGGCGGCCTGACATCAGTCAGTACGTACAAAGGTTCGGATTGAGGGCCCAGTCGCTCCAACAAGTCTGATGAACTGACGCCACTGAATGAGAACTTGTAGAAAGCCCTCACCCATATCTTGTATGGTGTGAATGGTTCTGTATGGAAGACAAACACATTAATAATAGAGCCCTTTGTACACACAGACATTACTCAACGACTCAATTAAGCATACGTCGCCGACATTTTTTCTTTCGTCTCAATTACCAATCGCTCACTACTTTTGCCAAAGTTGTCGATAAAATGTTGGCAGCAAATCGCTATACATGTAATGACATCTCTTTTTTCGTTAATGGGAATAAAAGGGATGGAAATATGCATTATCACGTAAGTATCAGAACAGTGAAATTTTACGGCAACACAAGCTTAGAGAATGTCTGTATGAAGTAGTTATGGTTTCACAGTTCGTCTCAAGTGTGTGTAAGAGCTATCTATGTTCCCCTATTTTTCTTCTTCAACAAGAGGTTTTTGTCGTATAAAGTAGTCAAGTGCAACGAGTAATCTAATGTCAACACAATGTTCAGATTTTGTTATCTTATTTATTATATAATTTGTATTATAAATTATTATCTAACTATCTTATCTTTGAAATTACTTAATTTCTTTTTAAGCAATTAGCACATATTAAATGTTTTTTGTTTCGATATTTGATCGACTCGAGACCTATTAAGTTTTCACGACGATAGATTATATTATAGTTTATTTATTTAATTGTCCATAAATAAATAAAAAAAAATATCACTGTCTTTGATTGAAGCATGTTTCAATACTAACAAAACTTCTAATGTATTATATAAAATACTGGTATTAATACTTACTTAAATTTCTTAGTCGAAATCCAACTACTTTTGTGAGCACGCCCAATTTGTTCAACAATGTAATATTCCTCGTCGTCTTCGAATAGTTTTCTATGCCCAAATCACTTGGAAATACATTATTCTGTTTAACATCCGCAGATTTTTGTACACCTACGATAGAGGCCGCATTATACTTCGGCACTCCTTGTTCATAATACAACACGTATGCAATCTGCGTTAAATCCTTATGAGGTATACTGGCTGCTGCTTTCTTAACCACCTCTATCGGTAATTGAAACTCTTCGTGCGTATCTTCTGGAACTCTCTCCAAATGCAGCCTCGGGTCAGTCGAATTACTATCCTGTCGTCTCTTTCTATGTCGATGGGAGCGTCTCTCTCTTAAACTACGATATGATTTGTCGAATAGTATATCTGATGCTGCATATTCATCGTTGTATTTAGACTTGTCATTTTTATATAGGAATGGTGAATAATCTAATTTCTCCGGGATCGTTGAAGCGTCAGTTAGTGTAGCGTGAGATTCCACGTCATTAACGGGTTCATCTGATAGTGTTTCGTGTTTAGCTTTCTCCGTCGCCTGATCAGGGTCTTGTTTAGGATCTTCACTGGCTGTTGTCAGCAGTTGTATATTGAAATTGGACGGCGGAGTCCATGAGAGGTGAATAATTTCGCTAGTCACATTGATAACTGTTAAATTCAGCGGTTCGGACGGAACTGGAAAAGAAGAATACATTGTTACTTATATGGATAAATATACGAATAGAGTCGATTCAGTCGTGTGGTGCATACATAGTTCTTGTTAATACTTCAAACTACCTTATCCAAGATAGTTTGAAGCGATCTTTATATGCAGTCTGCAAGAATAGTTATAAAGGTTAATTATCCACTTCCATTTGTTCAGCATAACAATCAAACTTCAAACCAACAATAGAAATCTGCGAACGCCCAAGGTTCAATTTCTCTACAATTCCGTTAAAACTTTTGTTGAGAATAATAAACTGAAAGTGTATATCCAAGAAGCCTTGTATCTAAAGTATTAATTGCCATAGAAATGTTATATTATTAAGAATTTAAATCGTATAACTTCTCAAGATAGTTACTAAAGCAAGAAGCTTCTAAACAAAAATATCATGGCCTATATTAAAAATCAAATCTAAATATATATTTCAATAAGAAAACAATTTATACTAGGAGCAAGATTATTCAAATGGAAGTGCACTGGCCGCAAGACTTTGTTACAATGTCAAAGTAATTATCAAGGGGAAGGAAAGGAAGCTTCTATTAATTTATTACTCGATATATTATATTAATCGAGTCGCGTGACTCAGTGGAACTCTATCAATGAACTAGTGTCGGTCACGCGACTGCGCGTGTCCAATTAATGAAAAAGAAAGTTTCGGAGATTTCGGAAATGATAAAACGTGTCAAGAGGCTAATAGGTGACGCACAATCAATCAACATTGAGAATTTTCATGTCATTGTATCGATGTTTGAAGCAAAATAAATTAAAAATGCTTTTTTAAACATAGTTATTTAAAATTCAAAAATCAAAACAGTTTTTATCTAAAGCCCGGAAATCTGATACCGTTATTCAATTTAAAGTAAATAAAGTTATCGAAAGCAATATAATAGCATTGCAAAAACTAAGTGTCTATGCACGAATGCATCGCCTTAACCGTGACAGGATCAAGGCTTCTATAATTTTATACACAACTAGTTGTATAGCGCAGTTATACTCGCTAGCAGTACGGCGCACACTAACGTAGAGATTCCCAACCTTATCTTCAATCTTTTATTGGTTTCGGTAAACAAATGACTTTATTTAGCGTCATCGTCGTCTATCGCAGGTGGGTCTTTAGCGAATCCTACGGGGTCTGTCAGAATCACTTTGGGGATTGACTATTCTCGTATGTTTTTGTAAGGGTTTTTCGGCGGTGTTAACATTTATGGCCGGTTTCCCAGCTACATTTGATGATTCGTTAATGTTTTTGGTTCAATAACTTCATAAAATTCGTTTCCGAACTATGTATCTCGAGGTTTACTTCGTTAAAACTTACGTCAACCAACACTCTTAAATCACTAGATAATATTATAAAGAGGAAAGATTTGTATTTTTGTATGTATTGAAATCACTCAAAAACTACAGGCCGATTTCAAGAATTTTTTCACCATTAAAAAGCGAGAATTTTTAATTGAACGCGAAGTCGAGAGCAACAGCTGGTGATAGAACAAATGGAAACTTGCCATCCAGCATTGATGACGTGAGTTTAAATTATACATATTGTTAAACTATATAAAACCACAATCTGGATACTAGCGTTAATATACGTAATATCCATTCATAAACGCCGGTGTTGCAACTTCGTAGCGACGTAAAAAAACGTGTTGTATCTACGTTTAATTACATAATATTTTCATTACCACGTAACATGTATCTTTATACGTGTCGAGTTTTTGTTCAGCTAGCTTCTCATTGTGGGAATCAATACAGATATGCATTGTTAGACAGTGCATGTTTTGTATACCATAGGTTTTTATTCTCAGTGCATTTTTTCGCTCGGCTGCATGTCCTTTTATTCTACATTTTAATAACTGCAAATTGCAACACATATTTTAAAATACAGAAGAACTTTGATTTTTTTAAAAGTACATTATTTTTAAAACTTGTAATTTATTTGTCACTAGCTGTTGCTCGCGACTTCGCCCTCGTGAAATTGAAAATAGTTAAAAAAACATAGTCTATATTGCTCACAGATAAATTACCTTTGACGGTAAAAGAATTTTTTAAATCGGTATAGTAGTTTTTGAGTTATTTCAATATATAGAAAAATATCATCTTTATAATATTAGTATAGATAACTTTTTGATAAATTTTTCCCAATGATAAGATAAGCTACTATATTATTATTTTTTTTCAATAACTGAAAAATCTAAATAGCCTAATAGCCGCTGAAAATGGGTTTTTAGATTTCCACTGTTTACTCGTAACTAATATGAGTTATGCATCTACTATTGTTGATCAGTCAGTGAATGTTAAAAAAAAGTACGCGTCGGAAACGAACCCGCATCTTCGCGAATGAAAAGTGACTTTAACCATTAACCTATTTCAATTGAGAGTAACAGTACTTAGACGCATTAAACGGATTAAGATCGTTCTGCCAAAGCAATGATACAATCGTTTTTATTAATGACACATTTGCAACGTAAATCTTACTAGTATTATAAATGCGAACATTAAGATAGATGGATGGATGTTTGTTTGACTATGTAACCTAAACAACTGAACGGATCTCGATGAAATTTAGCATAGACATAGAGGATAGACATGAAGAAAGTAACCTATGTGAGGTTACTTACTAAAGTTTTATTTAATTCCACGCGGACAGAGTCATGGGGAATAGCTAGTCTTCCATAAACCTTATGAAAGACTAACTTTCGCCCGCGACTCCGTCTTCGTCATATTAAAAAAAAAAAGAGAGTAGCCTATGTGTTATTCCAACCTATCCTCTATATCTATACCGAATTTCATCAAAATCAGTTCAGCCGTTTAAGCTACAAACGCTAACAAACATCCATCCATACAACCATTGGCATTTATAATATTAGTATGATTAAGTTGAATGGGAGACATTAACTAAGAATTCTAGGAAACATGTTTCAAGATTTAAAGTCAAGGGGCGAGGTAATTTTCTCTATGTACATTAAGTGAAGACAAAAGAAAGGTGGCAACCTTTAATCAAAAGCTAAACATCCTTCAAGACATGTAATTCATTACGATGACACTAGCTTAACAAAAGATAAATCCTCAATACTAATTGAAGACATTCTTTAAACACTTCAAAACAATTAGTAGAATGATAAATACATATCACATACATATTAAGTTCACTACAAACATTTAGTCTTAACTGGACAGTTAAACTAAACTTTAAAGCAATGTTAATATGATAATAATCAATTCTTATAAGTCGGGAAAATGAAAACATTACTTATTTGCTCTATTCAAATAATTAAGACATATAACTTGTAAAATATTTTAAGTTTTCAAATAAACTACACTATTATTAGACTCTTACTAGTACTATATTGTATCAGAATATATAGAGATATATGTTGTACAATCAGGGAAACTGGCAGTGTTTCATGAGAAAGCTGCTATCGTTTGAACATTTTGAAACAAGACATGGAACAAAATTTAATACAATGCAGATTATAAATGTATCTGTACGAAAAAATCTGTTAGTAATATATGGCTAGTTCTTTTATATAATTATCTCATAGTTTGCATGACTTACTGCTATTTAATTTGTTATTTGTAGGAAGAGGCGGAGTTACTCTTGTTGCAATAACAAGGCAAACTTTCCTAAACTGGAACACCGCAGATTTCCGCGAATGTACACGTAGGGGACTAATAGATATGACCTTCCCCTTAGACATGTCTACATGTTAACAACAGCATTAGGTGTCACAAACACAATGAACTTCACAAATTAAAGTCTAAACAATCGAACAACTCGGGAGTTTTTAACATATCATTTCTAGCTGTTTGCGATTTCGTCTGCATGAAATATGAAAATTATAAAAATACATCCTATGTTACAGATAAATTACTATTATAATGGTTAAAGTATTTTTAAAATCAGCCCAGTAGTTTTTTATGTGAATCGAATACATAAAAAAATATGAATCTTTCCTCTCTAATATTAGTATAGACTAGCTGTTGCTTTCGACTTTGCCTGCATAGAATTACCAATTGTAATAAATGTAGTCCACATTAGTATAAATATAGATAAAACTATGACAAAGAGGACAGATTTGATTGTCCGCATGATAAGGCTCTAAAACTACAGAACCAATTTCAAAAAATCTATCTCAATAAGAAAGTTATATTATCTCTTTAACCTAAGCATAGACATAAACAGGAAAGGTATAGATATGACAGAAAGGATATGAGACATTCATTGTTTACCATCTAGGCAAATCTGGGATAGATCACTGGTGTTTTTTTAAAAAAAAAATTGTTTAAACAATATTAATTTTGAAACTTAACCCATACTTACAATATTAATTAAGATAATTAGATATTATGAAGGATGTACTAAAAATGATTTAAACAAAATTTAAATATCTTTTATACCTACAATAAATGATACTTTTGAATGCATACGCAGTGTGCAAGTACAAAATATCTGTACATAGATATGTGTTCTAAAACATGAATACAAAGGATGTTCATTACATGCTGATAGCAATAGCCATGTGCATAAAATTCTGAACAGAATCACATATTTTAATGTTCCTACTAATCAAAAGAAAATAGTAATCAGATGCAAATACTATATTGTCTATCTATGTACTTCCTAATAAGATTTGTTGGATTTAGATATACAGATATACAGGGTATAAATATATACATAAATTTAATTATTGTTAACATTTAATTTAATTTGCAATATTTATTTTTAATTTTTCGTTAATTTCAAATTATTAAAAATATTTGTTATTGCCAAAAGACCTTTTCAGGAAGCAAAGGATGTGGTAAAACATTAATTTTTAGTGACAAAAGGAAAGATAATTTTCGAATAAATAAGCATTAATAGTGTGTTGCAGTAGTATGTTATAACTTTTTGAGGCTAGTTCGGGACTTGGTACAACAAATTCATGGATGACCAAGACTGACAGATGCGAATTGAGATAGGCGTAACGCATTTTGAAACAATAACTTAACATACAATAAGCATACTTATGAAACAAATATGATACATACCATAAATCTTCATACTTTCGTTGTAATTAACTGCATTATCACATTGAACGCACAAAATAAATACCGTAAAAATGGCTCCTATGGTGCACTGAAAATACATTTTTATACTACGATGCACCCGTTGTACATACGCAAATATATGTTAAACAATATTTATAAGCCACATTTTCATTTAATTTACTTGTACAGGCGGATATAATCTTGTCAACGAGTCATTTATTTCCTCTAAATTGTCTTAATAAAGCTGCAATCGAGCTGTTCCCCGCCGTCTGTCATTCGTCTTGTCAATAAACAACAAATGTTGCCAGCTAATGATCTGAAACTCTGCATCTGCTCGAACTACAAATGGTGTGTTCTGTAAGATAACAACTTAAAATGAATTAAGAATGTTAATTTTTTAAAAAGTTTACTTTAGAATATATGTACATCATCATCTTCCTCCTTATCCTACTCCCGTAGGTTCGGCGCAACAGTTTTTTATCCTCACAAAACTCTATCATTCCTCATCTCAGTCATCACTCCCGTCCTGATCATATCACCTTTCATGCAATTCATCCATCTCTTTCTAGGTCTGCCTCTACCGGTGTACTCTTCCACGCCCTTAACTAACGTTCTTCTTCTTACATATGATTCATCCTTCCTCAAAACATGGCCATACCATGCTAACCTAGACATAATACACCATTAACTGAATGTTTTCATTCTAAAATTATGGATATCAAATTAAACGCCTCAATTATTTTTAAATTACCACTGCAGAAAACATGTGCAAAAACTAAAAAACCAAAAACAAAATAATTTGGTTTTATTTCGTTGTCGCAGAAGCTGATAACACTGAAAAGTAAGATTGTTTGTTCGGCTTTTGGTGTCAGTCGCTTAGTGATTTTTTTGTGTTTAATTATAGAAATAATCAGTGATACCGCTGCATAAGTGAATAGAAGATGGTGTAATAATTATGTGATGTATTTGTAGTAACGGTCGCGTGTTGTGTATAAAAAAAGCAGTTTCTTCCGCCATGACAATGGTCCGTGCGCTCAGGAAGTATCCCGCGGCACTTGCCATTTATTTTGGGTGTATCGCATTGTGTTATCCAATTCTAGGTAAGTATTGAAAACAAATGTAATACTTAAACCATACAATTTCATACGGCATTTATTTGTGCCGTATATTACAGTAAATCGAACATGCTAACATGAATTCCTGTTTTTTTGCCACAAACAGCGACAGATATTGGCATCGGTACGAACGGAAGCATTTCCGCATTTATTTTATGTTATAACGGTTCTACAACTTTAATATAGGCAACTAATTTTCTTGTGACTTTTACGAACTTAATAAACATATGTATTTATGTTTATACCGTTTTATATCTTAAGCAATGTCAACTTTCGTTATCACGTTGCTTCTACTTGATAGATTACATCTTATATAGAATATTTGTTTATTTACATTAATTTGCATACATTCACGATGTTTTTATTTTGAAAGTCTTAAGTTTATACTCAATTTTTTTGCATATTTTGTATCATAAATGTGTTATATAGGAACTAACTAGAATAATCTAATATAAAATTTGAAATACATGCATTCTTACTACTTTTTATTGGATTATTCATTAATCCATAATAGGGCTGTTTATAAGATAATAAATTTGGAAAACAAGATTTTCTATAACTAAGTTATATATGTACTTATTAAGACCCCTTAGTTTTATAATTAGGTTTTATGTTTGAATCCTATAACAAATATAAATGACCTTCATCTTCTAGAAGCCATGAAAGTGAAAAGTATGTTATATAAAATTATGAAAACCTAGTATTAAAGATTGTTTACTTGTAACAAAACAAGTAAACAAACTACAAAATAATCAAATTAAACATCTCTTCCACTAATGAACTTTTTTCAACAAGAAAGCTTGCATTCTACCAAGTTATATTTGAGTCCAATAGAGATGAATTTTAAGTTGTATAAAAGTCATTTATTATTATGATGTATATCACATATTTGCTTTATGTATAACTATTGTACATAATAAATATGTATGTGAAAACAGAGTGTACAGACATGTATTGAAATTATTCCCACCGGATGCAGCTGAAATTAGAATTTCAATATCTTTGAAATTTATTCTTGGATAACAAGTCACGGGTACTTACTATTCCAAGGATGAATGTGCAGTTGAGTTTCATTTTTTTTATCTATAGCACTACCTAGAACAAATGGCAAAGAAACTAATTATTAAAAGATACTAGAGTTTCAATTGTATGCATATAAAGATGGCTTTATATGACATTTAAAATAATTATAAACAGGAGTTGCACTTATTATATGATAAATAGATTTATTATAATTATTTGTGATATTTGGACTGATACATATAGACTGCTTCAAGCTTTAGATGTTTAAGTTTTTTTTAACCATAAGGTGTCAAACAAGCTAGTGGCCACCTGAATCTGTCAAAATGGCGAAGTGACCGATGCCCATACACATTTGCAATAGCGGATGCATTGCCTACCTTTAACCGACGAAGGAGAAAACATACATAAAGAGAATATTTCCCCTTCCTATGCGTCCCAACAATAGCTTTCCTATAAAAAGTGTTGTACAGGCTTTTGACAGTGCCCCTATGGGTGTGGGATAAAAATGCAAAATGAAGTAGCCTATGTGTTCTTTTGAACTATACGCTAGATGTTTCATCAAGATTCGATGATCTGTTTAAAACGTACAGTAACCTAACGTATATATATCCAACCATACATCCATCCACATCCATACACCATTATATTATAGTAAGATTTGATTTTTGTTTCAAGCAGACAGCATTTAAAGCATTCCATGTTTAATATACATCAAGATTTTAACATATATTTTAAATGTTCGTAGTAAAAATCAAGTTATTGTATTTGTTTTTATTTAAGGACTATCAGTAAATATTTCATTGTTTTTATTATGTAAAAAATGTTGTTTTTATTGCACAGGAAATAAAAGGGATGACCATGTTTTTCATACAATAAATTATATTATGGTATAATTTCCCATATTAAGGTTGATAAACTTCGATCTAAGAAGCTAATAAATAATTTTAATAGATGTACAAACTATTACAATTAATATGTAGGCAAAGTTATGAACTTTGCCTACACCGTAATTAACGTCATTCTTCTAGTAGGACATTATCGTAACATCCGTGTGAAAGGCCCTTAATAAGCGCAGCTTGCGTCCACATGAATTTTTTTTTAATCATTTTATGACGCACATTCCGCCTGCATTATTCAAATGTAACAGACTAGAGATGAACTAAAAATATTTCTGTCGTTTATTACTCGATTTATGGAAACGATATTTTAATGAATCACTCAAATTCTGATACTAGGATATGCAAAAATTACGCTTTTTGTATCAGTAAATTGCATTACAGAAGTAAATATAGATAAAACATCTAATTTAGATGACAGGTACTATAAAATTAACACATAAAATTGCATACATGTTACAAGTATGTAACATATTGTTATATACTTGTGTCGACCTACGCCATTTGAATACTCACAACTCTATTATTAATAACGTGCGTGTCATGTCTTTACTGAAGTAGGGGAGTATATCTCCATTAGTTACATATGTAGGGATCTATTTAATTTATAAGAGAAATATGGACTTCCACCCTTGGTACTGTTGAAGAAAATTCCCAATGACACCTAAAGATCTTAAAGTAGACTGTATTTTTGTGAAAATACGACTGTCCTGTTGGCTGAGCATCACTAGTCGACATTGACCGCAACCCTGTCGACCGTAGCTGCTCCATATGTAATTCGAAACCAATTGCCTGAGGTCGGCTGTTACGTATCGCTAACTAAATGAAAAAAAAAATGCACGAACTAACAATAGTACGAAGATATTATTTTTTTAAAACAAAAAAAGGTTATTAGTTTAGATATTACATTGTGAAAAAAATGTGAGATCGAATTTTTAATTTGTTTGATGAATCTCTGAATGAAGTATGAGCTTTTAACGAAAATATTTGCATTCAATGTAAACGCACCTTAAATTACTTTACCTTAGATTTACGTTCGATTTTGACCATTGGATCTATACGACGATGCAAATTAATGACCTGATTTATTCCCTAATTAGTTGTTAATTAACAAGATTGTTGGTTCGTTGCCAAAAGTCGGTAAGCCCATATCGGACTAATGGATTTTTGACCACACCCCTATAAGGGTAGAACTTCGTAAGGAATTAGTATAATGCTGATTTAAAGGTATGATCACGTTTTTATTACTATGCTGTTACTTTATTTAAAAAAAATATGTCATTTAAAATCGTCACGAGACATTGTCACGATGCGTCGCAGATTCTATTCTTTTTATAGGTTAATGGGCAATCGAGTGGCATAAACGCATAAGCTGTTGCCCGTAAGATGCAGTTCCACTAAAGTTACACTCGTGAACGCGCGTATTATCAGAGGAAATGTACCTTAAATATTGTGTGATCTGGCGACGGTTTGGCTCAATAAAATTACGTTATTTATTCAGAAGACAGGATGTATATTTGATTAACGAGATGTTATCGAGTTTCTCGTTAGAGCAAATTGTCTATTCAAAATGTTTGTTCGATACAGAATTCTTAGAATCTACCCAATTATCAGAACACGCGGTTAACCGAATTGCCTTTTATGATGTTCAGATGTAAATGTTTTAGCTAGTTTTGGATCTAAATATGTTTGCAGCACTTGACGACATTGTTAAAAGTTATAGTTTAAACGGCGTTTATACGGCGTCCCCTTTTTTACCATCCTTTTTGGAGAGCGGGAATAACAGTCTAATGGAAAACTGCGCCCTTTTTCATCCAGAGCCCTGGTCGGTCGTCCAACTACGCCGAAGCCTAACGCCGATGATCTTGCCTTCTTTGGATACCTAATAGCAAAATGTACATGTAATAACACTCAAAAATGTAGTTTCATGTCTAGACTAAGATAAAATGGATGCAATAGAGAAAGGATACTAGTATTGGTGTCAGCTGTATAGCACCTACCCGCATTCAATGTCGTGATTACGCGTCGAGATTCGTAGTAATGGGTGTCCCAATTGGCAACGGGATCAATAAGTCTCGCACTTCTTGATCCAATTACTGGTGACTTCGATATAACTACAGGAAAAGTATCAATTAATGTTTGACTATAGTTAAAATTGATAAGCTTTTGACTATAGTACAAGAATTACTGCTTTGTCAAACTTCGTTTCACATCTTTTAAGATTTTATTGGTCTCCGTGAATCCCCTTTTGCTACATTTCTAGACCTTGAACCTTCAGCTCTATCCCCTGATAATCGTATACCCTGGCTGAGGCTTTCGTAGATCTTTGTGGTTTAATGTTCGTAAGATACGGGTTTGTTACCACTGATTGTTTTAGCTCCTGATATTTCGGCACAGTTGCATGCGCCATGATCACGGGCTGACTGAAATGATGCGGTAATGTGAAAACTATATCACTTTGGGGTTCCATTGAAACTAGTATAGAAGATTCGATTTCTCGATGTTTTCTTTTGCAATCCGTACTCTAAACTATTGTGCTATTACCACTTGAAATGCGAATTTAGTTAATTAAATTGTATTCCGTTTGCGCATGTTTGTGTTAAAAGTGAAACCGGATGTTTCGCTGTGTAGCTCGCTATACAATTACTACCGGTTCACTGCGATCAAATATCTCTTATAGCTTATAGAAATGTTTAAAATATAGTGAAAGTGATATAACGGAAAATTATAATTGGGGTAGAATTAAATTCTAAACAGTTTTTCATTCCTATGTACTTTTTGGTGGATTTTTGAATACGACAGACAGATTGACTAAGTAAATCTTTGCAAATAGCTCTTGATTCTATTTTCTACAATAGAATTTATCATCCTTATATGGTTATAATATAATAACGGAAGCAATCTCGTTACAAGGCGTGAGGGCGACGTTCAACTTCCGAATAATCGGAACCAACGGATGACATGTTATTGGAAATATTCTGAATGACGTAACATATGTCTTTGTATGATAAAGACCTCGTGGCCTAGAAGAGAAGCTTTTGTTAGGATGCTATTTTTGGTACACCT